TCATGGAGCTACAGACTAATTTAGAGATAATCCACTACAAGGTACAACATCAAGGTTGAAAGTCATTTTCCAGAAACTGATGCTGACCTCTGGGTGGTGATCTCTGAGGGAATGAGTCTTATCAAAGACAAAGATCTCTGTAAACAGTGAGTCAAAATGGGATCCTGCTGAATGAAAGAATACAGACGAGTGTCTGTTACTCTACTCTGTAATGTCCTGAATGACTGACGTTGATTTTATCACTGTATTTGATAGATAGTAATACTAACAAATTCACTGTGCTGTACTGAACTACTTATCCCAGTATGCCTAAGGTTCCTGCTTTAAAGAGGGCTTCAGAAGCATTAATGATTAAATTTAGTATATTAGTCTATTAACATGTATTTTGGGGGAAGAACAGAGAGAATTCCTAGAACACCCTACTATTATCTCTCATTTCCTTTCCAGAAAAAGTAATAATGCAGCTCTTCAAAATAATGACAAATTCAGCAGTATGATTTGACTGCTGTTAAGGCCTACCCCTCTAGGGCATCCTCTGTTGATTCCCAGAAACATAGAAAAAGACACAACTTCCTAGAGGAGCGGGTCCTTAAGTATGTTAATATGGTAAATGAACATGCAACTGTTGCAGAGAAACCTTGATATGCTTCAGTGAGGAGATGGGTAGGAGGGCTGCAGGTGGAATGTGATCTGTTCAGTGTAGTCAACTGCTGTTCTATATGCTAACAGTGTAGTTTTATATAGGAAATAAAATATTTGTACAAACTATTTACACTGAAACACTGTTAAGAATGCAGAAACTCAAGTTAAATGCTTCCTGAGCACATGCATTACAACAGAGTTAAAGGTGAAATATCTGGCCACTTTTTCTCCCCTCCATCCTTCAGCTGCATTGGGTGAACCTGTTCACAACTGTACACTTTTTTGTTTTTTTTTAAAACAAGAGGCCTGTTGTGAGTGGGGCAGGAATAGAAGTGATGGGTGCCTAATTACAATAAGCAAATATAAATTAGCCTATCATGCAAAACTTACATGATGATGGCCAAATCACTTTACACAAGCTTTCTATGGGTAAGTCATCACCATTCTGTACTTTATTTTTTTGTTGTCTGATTTGGCACACCACTCAGAAGTTCTGAGCGTTCACAAATGTAAATGAAGTTTCTAAGAGCTAAATGCTAAGTCTGCTTAGCTCCTGCACTGTGAAAAATTAGTCTTAAAGTAGAAGGCATGAAGCTTGCAGAATTTAATCTCTGCCTTAGTGCTTAATAACAGTTACTTTAGAAAGATGCTACAAGATATATTCATGCTTGTGGAACAGATCATACAGTGATGAACACTGAAGGTCTTTGAGGATGTTAATTCTCTTCTCTTTAGAGCAAGATTTGAGCAGCGTGCAGTGAATATTATTCTTGGCTAACAGAGATGCTTAACAGTTTAAGTTGATTGTTCTTGGTCCTCTGTCTCAACAACAGATAATTACATTATTGCCTCACATGTTAAGCTCTTACTCTTCTTCCCTTTCCAGTAAAGGAAACCGTAAAGATTTGGGGAAGAAAAACTAAAGTACTGTGGAGTTATTTTAAGAGAACAAAAAGGTGAGCAGTAGATTGCCAATTTCCCAGGGTAGAAATAAGGAAGAGCAGCAACATCTCAAGGCTTACAGGATCTCCAGTCTCATTTAAAAGAACAAGCACTTCCTTTTGAAAATAGGTTTTACCCCTCTCTTGAAAACAAGGCCTAACTACAGAATTCAGAGAGCTTGCTGAGGTCTAAGACGTAGAAGACAATGAAGGCAACTTACAGAATCACAGAATCGTAGGGGTTGGAAGGGACCTCCAGAGATCATCGAGTCCAACCCCCCTGCCAAAGCAGGATCCCTACACCAGGTCACACAGGTAGGCGTCCAGGCGGGTCTTGAATATCTCCAGAGAAGGAGACTCCACAACCTCCCTTACAGAGAAGTATAAGCAAGATGAAATACGTTTTATAATGATTTGACTTAGTTAGGTTAGTTCATATTCAGTGACAGGTGTGACTTTGCTTAAAGTGATGCTACCTGCACCTTAAAATTAGTACAAATACAAGTACAGTTATCTAGATTACAGTAAGAGTCCATGGATTTACATAGGTAGTGATTTGGCAAGGCCCTTAAGTATATGCTTAATATAATTGCAGCCTGTAATTTTCAGTTATCCTGACACCTAGTGGAATTTATTGCTCCAAGCAGAATATATAGGTTAATCTGGTAGAGCAACTGGGGAAGAATAAGAAAGTTGTGTAACCCATCCTTGGACAAAAATAACAAGATAGTCACCTGAACAGCTATCTAAGCAATAAGTTAGATAAAATGTGAAAAAAAATTGACCCAAGCCCTTCCCCTTTAGAAACGTGTTAATAAAGACAGACTAAGTGTTGTACGGTCCCTGACCTGATTTTTTGATGTGGATGGATTTCCTAGTTTCTTTTTATCATTACTATTCATTTTTCTCTTCCTCCCCCCCCCTCCCCCCTTTTTTTATCTTTTTCTTTCTATTTCATGTGAAGACATCACTGAATTCAGTTTAAGTTACATTCTGATCTTCATTAATATAATGTGAACATACTGAACCCTTTTAGTTCTCATCAGAAGGCAGGATCTGATTTATTTATTTATTTCAATTTAGATACATATTACTCAAACATGAGTATTTTACAGACAATTCCATCATCATTTGTATACGACCCATACAATTTATGTTCATGTATCTGCAAGAATACCTTGGCTGATACTTCACAAACTTCTATGAAGGTTACTTGACTCTAAAAGGTTTTATCACATTAGCATTATATGGAAATACGTAGTAGTCTGTGTAAATGCACCATCACTCACTCTGTACTAGTTATTATTTCAGGCCTTTGTATAATCAATGAATGTACAGATGTTATAATTACAGAATATATCAGTGAGTTTGGCTAAGCAGATTATTAAACAAAAGAGAATAGATAGAATGCTTGCCCACATCCTAGGCTCATTACAAAACTCTGAAGAAGGAATCTCCAGAAAAGATCCTTGTCTGCCTGTAGTCAACTCTTAAATGGGGTCTAGGAGAGGTGGAGCCAGGCTCCACCCCTTCCAGCAGCACAGGTGAATTGCCTTCACCGGTGCTCCCAGGGCTGACTCATTGCTTGCCTCAGGTGATCAATCAGAGGTTCAGGCTGTGATTCAGCACTTCCCATGCACCTTGAAGTCCTCCAGTTTTTGTTCGATTATATTCTACGTAACTTTGACGTTCTGTCTCCTGGCTTGATGTCTTAAGCACATTTTAGTCAATTTCTGTATTTATGTTCCTATTATCGACCAGAATGAATGTTTTTGTTTTCATAACCAGAACGCATGGCTGAATTCTCAAGGAAAACCTCAGTTTGCTTACCCAGAAACCGAGATGCTGCAGTCAGTGTCAGTGAGGTGTTCCCTACCAGTAATAATAGCCCTGTGCTTGAACTGGTGGTAGAGGCGAGGGAAGTACCAGCAAGTTACTAAAGATTACTTTCCTCCAGGCCAGTACTTCAGCACACCGAGGAAAGAACACACTTATAAGGAGAAAATATTGGCAGTGCAACATGGCGATGAAATCTTGATTGGAAGCTTCTTCATACTGATACTGAAAGAGTGAGTTACCATGGCGGGCACAATATATTTAATAAACTTTATAACATGCAGTAAGGATGTGATGCACAGCACTATGGGATGACCTGTGAAACTCTGAATGTAAATGAGAATTTATTTTTTTTTTACCTTGACTCACGGAATCAAACTCTATAACCCAGAGTTAGGTTATAAAGCAGGTATGTTTTATTCAGCATTTAGCGCCAAGCTGGGTGCAAGGGGGATAGCTCCTCCAAACTTGCACACCATAAGGAAGAAGCTTGGTACAGATATAGGCCGAACGAATACACAATCAGTGGTATTCACATGCATATTCATTACATTCCTGACTTATCAACATATGGTCCCTGCCTTGAGCAGTAGGGGGGGGGGGGTCTCCTTTGCATGGGAGAAGACCCATTGTCTCTGACAGAAGTGATCCGACCCTGACCCATTCCTTGTGTCAACAGAGTTTCCAGATGCCCTTTTCATATTTGACCACACATCCTGCTTATCTACATTCCTAAACAAGAGTTAATCCTTATCTTGTCCTTTCCTTACTCAACCTTTCCAATAAAACATTGAGGCTCTGGACTGTCTGGAGAAGGGCAATGGAACTGTGAGGGGTCTGGAGCACAAGTCCTATGAGAAGCTGCTGAAGGAACTGGGGTTATTCAGTCTGAAGAAGAGAAGGCTCAGGGGAGACCTCATAGCTCTCTACAGTGACCTGAAAGGAGGATGTGGTGAGGTGGGGGTTGGCCTCTTCTGCCACGTAACAGTGATAAGACAGAGCTAATGACATTAAGTTGAGCCAGAGGAGGTTCAGGTTGGGTATTAGGAAACATTTCTTCTCAAAAAGAGCGGTGCTGCAGTGGCACAGTCTGCCTAGGGCGGTGGTGGAGTCACCATCCCTGAGGTGTTCCAGAACCGTGTGGATGTGGCACTGAGGGATGTGGTCAGTGTGCATGGGGCTGACAGGTTAATGGTTGGGATCGATGATCTTAGTGGTCTTTTCCAACCTCAATGATTCTATGACGCTGTGACAGCATCCTGAAGAATGATAGCCGTGCAGTCCTCCCACAGCACAGCCACGTAAACACACGAGGACAAAATTCTGGAAACGGACAGGCGCTGTTACTCCGGGCAGGGCAAAATAAGAGTCTCGTGAATGCCGATGGCTTCTCCTTCCTTGGCTCTGGTGACCAGAAGTGCTGACGAGACGTCTGTCAGAGGTGATCCCTGCTCCGCCCGCCCGATCCCGCCGCCAGGTGGCGCCGTAGCGCTGCCGGAAGCGGTGCGGGACCGTCGGCGGCGGCGGGACCCGCCCGCCCGGCCCGGCGCATGGCAGCGCGCTGAGGCGGGCCGCGCCGGGCCGCACCGCGCAGGGCCGCGCCTGGCCGGGTGGCTGCGGCGGCGGCCGGCGGGCCATGCTGCTAAAGCTCCTGCAGCGCCAGACCTACACCTGCCTGTCTCACCGCTATGGGCCCTGCCTCTGCCTCGGTGGCCTCGTCCTCATGATCGTCTCCGCCCTGCAGTTCGGGGAGGTCAGTACGGCGTGGCAGCCCCTTCCCGCGTTCCTTTCCCCGTGCGGCTGGGCTGGCGGCGCGCTGCGGCTCCTTCGGGCTGGGCGCCGCCTCCAGGGGAGCGGGGGCTCCATCGGGAGCGTGCTATGCACGGTGCTGAGAAGGTGTTTGGAGCGGCAGCGGTGGAAGGGAAAAGCGGCTGCAGCTGCTGGGGGCTGTCCGTCCCTCTGCCCGGTTTAAGCTGCTCGCACTTGTTGGAGCTGCTGGCTGCGAAATCCGCCCTCGCGGAGTCGTGCCGCTCCCCGCCGCTTCCAGCTGCGATACGAGTTTTGAATGACCCGGACGAGGTTGTTAGATTGTTTCTAGCAGCCCCGGCTTGCCCCGGCAGAGAGGAGCTGGGAACAGGCTGTGCGCGCCAGGTGTGTGCTGCTGTGACCCGTGCCGCTGTCTGCGCTGCCCTCGGGGGGTTTGTCAGTACTGTTATTCTGGTTCTGAACGGGCTGATGGGACTCTTCCAGAGCCTTCACGTGGTGACCTGGAGCAACGGGGTCTTTTTCCCTTCCAGAGATTAAGGAATTTAATACAGCCTGCTCTGGGCTGTGTTACACCTCTTGCTATTCAGTAGAATTTTGTAAGTGATGGGATGCGGCTTGCTTGGTCAGTGTCACATGCAAGCAGACTGGTATTTCCTGATTCCAAGATTTCTGAAGGCACGTTCTCTCACTGTTGTGTGTTCGTTGGGTTCTCCTTTTTATCACCCGTTTCGTTTTGATCCGCTCTTTCGCACTTAAGAAAAGAGAAGAGCCGAGGATGGCGTTATCTGACAGTCTGCAGTGGCACACAGTCAAAAGTGCAGTTTCAGTCAGAACTTGCAGTTTTATCTGGCTGTGCTCCCTGTTTGCCGTCTTGCAGCCTTCAGAAATTCCTGAAACGCTTTGAAACCAGGAGTGAGTTAATGATGTGATACTTTCAGCCATTCATTTGTTTATAATTGTCAAATTGGTCTTGAAGCTGATTGAGGTATATCTCTCGGTGCTGTTAAACTTCGAATAAGCCTTTAATTTTCTTTAGAATGAGGACTTCAGACAAGCTAGCATTTCTGAGAACCACTTCAGTTCCTTGTCCAAGTTATGGCTGATTTTGCTGAGTATCAAACCCACTAATTAGATGTTTTCCTACCAAATCTTAGCTTTCTACTTCCAGCCGTGTTACTATCAGAACTATTCAGAAATCCTAGGTACTATTTAGGCAGCAAACAAATCACTGGCAAATACATGTATGTGTACATAAATTTTCAAAACTGTAAGTTAAGAAAAAAAGCCAGCTGACCAGAGTTCTTCTAATGGGACTCTGCAAATACACTCCTACTCCTGTCCTGCAAAAATAACAAACCAAATGTCAGCATAGAAAAAAAAAAAAAACAAAAAACCCACAATCTCCTTTGTTGTCATTTTTAATAAAAGAGTCAGTAAGAGATGTTTGCATGCATTTTGCTATTTATGTTTTAAAATGTTCCTGTTTTGGCAAATAGTGGTAGTTAAAGGATTCGGTAGAGAATCCTTATGCTGAGAATAAAGCACTATTACACCTCCTCTGGTAACTATACTAAGAATAGAAAGCATTTCTATTCTTTAGTACGGTCTGCTAGGCAGTAGCTTCCTCAGTATATGTAAGAATTTTATGCATGAAACCAAGACATCTTTCTAGTAATTACCAGATGAACTGTTTTTAAATGTTCTGTGGGACTTCTCAAGGGCATGCAGTAATATGTTTCAGACTCCGTTATCTGACCAGAGTATGCAGTTCCTTTTTTTCCCGCTGCACTCTCAGAATCAGTTTTTTTGTTCCAGTGAGCAAAACTAGATGTGCTTGTTTGGTGTCATTTTGATATTTGTGTGAGTACTGACATAAAAGTAAATGATGACAGCAAAAACACTGAGATTGGGAATAATATCCTAACAGCCTCAAAGCCTCAAAGATGAAAATCATTTCAAGAAAAAGGTTAGCCCAGGGAAATAACAGTGCATTTAAGCATGATTTGGGAGCTACAATGTACAGGATAGCCAGGCCTCAGACAATGCTGTAGCCTGGTCATAAGTTAAACTTTGGTGTTTCACGACAGTTTGCCTACAAACCACTTGTAGCTGACCTTCCATTGATCACTCATTTGTAAAATGTTTTTCAGTTGGAACAAGGGAGCCATTGTTATCACAGAGCTGATACAGTATCTCTTCTTTTCTTTTCTTTTCTTTCTTTTTTTTTTTTTTTTTTTTTTTTGTGATGTTATTCTTTAGTGGCTTTATGTATCTGTATGTAAAGTTGAAGCAAAGAGGCCTTCAGGTGCTAACACAGTGCAAAGCAAAGAGTAGAGAAAAAGAATGTATCAGATAAGATGTTGCATATTTTCTAATAGACGTCTATCTAAAGAGAGCTGCTGTGGTTCTTTCTTAGTATAGTTGCACAAATAGAGAAAAATAAATGTTGGAATGGTTAATTGTCACTCTAGTGGAGAACAGTACAACAAAACATTATTTTACTCAAATACTTCTGTACTTCTTCCAGGAGCAGGTCAGTGTGCGTCAATCCATAATTAACCATAATTACAAATGTTTATGTCTAGATAGCTTTCAGTGTGTATGGTTTTAAAGTAATTATTTGGCAAAAGGACAGAATGACTCGAGTGTGAAGAAGTGTAATGATGTTTTCCATATTTAAGGAAGTAGGTATTTTTGCTCAGCTTGCAAATCACATTGTCCTTTGTCTAGGAGGAACGAGATTGTACAGATGTGACTGTGATTGCAGTGAGACTGTGTGCAGCATTGGAAATAATTTTGATTGTCACTGGCATGTGATAAGGCTTCCCTGTCCTGCATATGTTTTAGAACTCTTTAATTTACCTCAGCAGGCGTAAGGGTATAGAGACTCGTCTTCTTAAAATGGAGGGATGTAGCCTCAAAAATTATGGGCTTCAGCGCTATTTTAGAGAAGCGGTGTGTTTCATAGTTGCCATAAGAAATAAGGAGTAGTGCTACTTGAATCCAGGCTAGTAGTGAAAAGTAATACTATCATTATCTGGTGGTGTCCCATCCCCCCTCTCAGTGCATATCTTTAGGTACATTATCAGATAAAATAAACCCCTACCTTTTTATCTCTTGTAAATATTGTGAGATGATGCTGTAGTTTTTAAAGTTAATCTTCTGCTGCAAAAGATATAGAAAGTTTGTTTCAGAGTAAAATCTTTATTTTTTTGAATTTATTTATTTTTTAATCTCAAAGTAGTGGTCCATCTCTGTGACTTGGCTCACTGCAGGACTGGGTGAAATCCAGTGTCAAGTTAAAGGGGGGCAGAAACACAGGGGGAGGGAAGTTTGCAGCCCACAGAAACACTGAGCTGCTGCATGAGCTGGGCTGCTGTGTAAGCCATCACCTGCATTGGGAAACAGCGACTGACTTTGTTTGTGCCTGGGTTAATCTGCATAATTTGATTTGTCCTGGCCTGACTGTTTGTTTTCAAAGGTCAGATTTCAGAGGTATGAGAATAGAAAGGAAGACCATGAAATTCGTGCAAGGTGAGGAGGTGGCTCTTGCTTGCTTTCAATCATATTTCTTTAAGATCTCAGTTTTGAGAAGTTGCTGTGTTTTGAAATGCTAAGAGGCAAGGGGGAGGTGATCAAAACAAATAGTAACTTAAAAACTACATCCAAAAAACATGGAGCCCTTCCTTGCAGGAATAAAAACTAAGCTTGTTTAAATCAAGTGTGCTGTAAGTTCTGCACCTGATTCCTACCTCAGTGTAATAACTTAGGTTGGATTCATTTCTGGTCACATGTGCATTAATACAGAGATCAGCTTGAATGAAATTAGTCATGCTTGATCATTTCAGAAATAAATGCCTAATTTTAGAAGTTGGTAACATATATAGTTGTTTATATCTTTTTTTCTTTACAGGTTGTGTTGGAGTGGAGTAGAGATCAGTATCATGTTATGTTTGATTCATACAGAGACAACGTTGCGGGCAAATCGTTTCAGAATCGGTGAGCTTTATTTGCAGTTGGAATATTGTATGTTTTACTGTTGAATGATTTCTCAAATATTTAAATCAATTATTCTAGTTAAAGTAAGTAATTGTTGAGTGTGACTTTTTTTTGTATGGGCAATTGTATGAGTAATGAATTACTAACGTAGAGGTTCCAAAATTGTGAGTTAGTGCTTAATATCCCATTGTGAAAGTCTGGAATTTGGCATTTCTAATCATAGATATATAAATCTTAAGTACATTTAATTCATCCAGTCTGTAAGGAAACAGCAAAATGACAACAATGTTAACAGTGAAGGGGAAATATGATATATTTTCCATATTAAGACAGGAACTTATTTTGAGTTTTCCACGACATCTCAAAAAAGATGTTATTTAGTAAAAAAGTCACAAAGCTAACAAGAAGCAGCATTTTAAAGCTAAACACATTGAAGTCACCCACAGCAGATTGGAAACCAAGTCAGATGGGTCATTTGCTTCAGTTTTGCTAACTGTTAAGTAGCTTCTTGTGGTTTCTGAGTTTGTGTCTGAGTAGTTGTGGGATCTGTTGCTCAGGAAGTCAGTGGACTGTGAATTGGTAGGTGGGAGAAGCTACTAACAAGTTGTCATCTGAATCTTGAAACACTGATGCACTTGACTGGAAAAAGCCCTGAAAGCAGATGTTTAATCTGCATTAAGGTTTGTTGAATCATGGGACAGCAGAAATGATCAGATCAGTTTGTCATGCTTGAGTGAGTAGGTGCAGGATAATTCCTTAAATGTGTGTTACATTATATTTGTGAATACTACTCACTTCTATAACCTCATCTGACTTCTCTCTCCTAATTTCCAAAGAAAGGCAGATGAAGAGAGAGTGATACAGCTCATACAGATCATTAGCTTTGTGTATACATCTTTCTGCAGAGTTGAAATGAAAGTGTGTTTGTTCTTGTCTGTACTAAAATGCTGCCTTTGTGCTAATTAATTAATGTTTTTATAAGATTGTACTGTCACGGTGTAGAAATAGTTAACTTCCATTTCTAGGGTGTACTGTCATATTTCATTTTGGATGTGTAAAGCATTCCTTAGTTAGAGTTGACTTCTGGTGAAAGCTTACAGTGGAGAGCTTAAGGGCGTAGCTGGGCTATACATGTTCTTAAAAGAGGTTCAGCAAGGTTTGAGATCACAATATGGTGGCCTGGGAGAGATCCAGAGGCTGCTGTACTCTTTCAGCAACTGTGGACACTGAGACAATGAGGCTTTGTCTTCTGGCTCTAATCTCTGCTGCAAGCGTGGCTCTCCTACATATGCAAACATCACTGAGATGGAAAATGTGTCCTGGCAGGTGCACAGACCTGCAGACAGCACACAGTGAGTTTCCTGTTCCTACCGCAAGAGATGACAGCTCTGGCTTCATCTTCAGATCCTAGTCATGCTTTTTGATTTGTGTGTAGAAGTAGGGACATTTTTGGAAAGGGAAAAGTGTAAGGGAGGATCTGAAAAAGATAAAAATCCTTGAAATCTCAATGCTTTTTTTTTTTTTTTTTTTTTTTAGAGGCATTGAAATAAATCAGAAAGCTTTGAGAAGATGAATTCATTTCACTGCTACTGATTCTAATTGGGAGCAGTGTTAATTAGGAGCAACAAACTAATTGTGTATATTTTTTATTATTATGTTTGATAGCCACTACTTTTCTCAAAAATGGATGCTAATTTCATTTTAAAATGCATTAAATTTTTTTTCTAAGTATTCAGACAAATTGTAAACAAATAAGCGAATGGATCTGCAAGCAAATCACTTATTTTGGTAGCTTTTTTAAAATTATCTCTAGAGCCTTTGCTAATGAAGCTTGCCACACAAGGGTTAATTCAGAGCTGTTATTCAGTGCTACAAATTGAGTGTAGAGAATTACATAGTTATATTTGCTATTGTACAGAAATATGCTATTAGCAGATGATAAGTTGGGAAGGGCTTCACAGGTGTGTAAATAGTGCTAAAATTGCCTCTCACCATAGAACAAGTTGGAATTCAGTCTTTCCTTTTCCACATTCTATGTTCTTAAGTGAAGCCTGCGTAAACAAACTCCGCACTTTGCCCAGAAGACTGAGGGTTGTGCACTTTTGAAATCAGCTGACTTAAGTCAGGTGCTTCCATATGAAATGCTCCTTCTAGCTGTAGAAGTCAAGGCATTGCCAAACCAATATTTTTATTGATCGCAACAAATGCAAATGAAGGAGCTCCTGCCATTGAATTTCTGCTTCTAGACAAAATCTATGCAGAGCTGTGTCTGTTAATGAACCAGAGGCTGCTCTGTCTCCTCTTGCTGGATATTCAGATTATCTTTAGATTGGCCCTCCAGCATCCGTTAGGTATCATAGAAGCCTTGGAGTTGGAAGGGACCTCTGAAGGCCATCTAGTCCAGCTCCCCTGAAATGAACAGGGGCACCCCAGCTAGATCAGGTTGCCCAGGGCCTGATCCAGCCTTGCTTTGAAAGTCTCCAGGGACATGGCATTAACCACATCTCTGGGCAACCTGTTCCTCACCACCCTCACTGCAAAAGACTTTTGCCTTTTATCTAACCTAAAGCTTCCCTCATTGAGCTTAAGAATCAGAGGGAAGATGGAAGAGATGCTCACCATGTCTCTCTTTGCATATTGTCTGAAGGGTGCATTGAGTGGGAAGGAACACCTTTCCTTGGATACTTCATTGCTTGGTTCTGTAGATCTTAGCATTGGAACACTTATTTGCTTGCTATCCAAATGCTGTTTTTCTCCTAGCTATGTTTTCACTTATTTTGCATATTTCATGGAAACAAAGACATCAGAGAGAGATATTAAATTCTGAGGATCTAAACTTATTAAGAACAATTTAATATGCTTGGCAAGCGACTGGATTATTGCATTTTGCTGAAGTCTGCGAAGACCATCCACAGTTTAGGAAGATATTAGTGAGTAGCTTGATACCGAAGCTTCTGAACTTACAGTTGAGTCTGCCACCTGTTGTATGGGACCAAAGGGTTTGTCTCTGGCAGCAGCCTGGAGCACCTGCAGAAACAAGGTGTGGGCCTCAGAGTGGAGATAACCATCAATGAATAGAAGAAAGGTACTCAGAAACCTTTCTTTGCTGCTTCTGCATTAAGTATGCTGGGACAACTGTAAGCAGTGAGCTACAATTTCACAGTATTAAATTGTGTCAGGCATAGATTTGATTGCTGTTTCTGGTGTGTGAAGTCGTACAGCCTGCTGAGGTTGTTAGCTGGTGAAATCCCAAGTAGGAGATCTAAAAGGTATTCTAAGATAAAGACCTGGTCCTTCTTAGATCTTACTCCCTCTGGGAAATTACCTGACACCACAAATGATTTAAGACTTTATACTTCATGCTGTCCTGTCTAATTTTAGCAGCTGGTGCATTAAGGATGTCCCTTAATGACACTGGTACTGGCTTGAGAAATATTTAATGGGCTGTCGAGAGTTGGGTTATAGGTTAACATGTCATTGAAATCTAGAGCATAAATTTCAGATTTCTTTAGTTACTGAATTGTTATGCCTGCTCTATATCCTTTTTAGATTTTGTCTGGGCTGTATTGCCAAAGGCTTGTTTATAATTGAGGGGTGATATATATATATATAGCTGAAGGGAAGCTTTTTTTCTTTGTCTTGTTTGCAGCTCAGACACGAAGTAATTTTGTTGTTTGACAGAAACTGCTATTGTAGAATGCCACAGACGCCTGTAATGTAATATTAAACAGCTCATGTAGCTTTCATTTGAATTATGTAGGCTTTGTTTACCCATGCCAATTGATGTGGTATACACCTGGGTGAACGGCACAGATGTTGAACTGATCAAAGAACTGCAACAGGTCAGAGAACAGATGGAGGAAGAACAGAAAATAATGAGGTAATAATCATATGTATTTTTTTCACTCCTACTGAAAACAGCAATCTGTTATGTACTAGCCTTCTTTCTTTTTTCCCATGTTGCTCAAAGCAAGTTTTTCTTTGTTTTGATTATTCTCAAAACCTTGTTTCAGTTCTACATTTAGCTGGGAAACAGTGCCTAATCAGGAAGCCGCTTAAAACACAGAGCATAATAATTTGAAGTAATTAAGGCTGTTTTATCTTGAATTTGTAAAATGCTATTCAGAAAACTATGCTTTGTGTACAAGTCATTTTGTATTGATTTCTGTAACAGTTTGCAAATAACCAAAAAAAAAAAAAAATCATAAAACTATACATTAAATTTTTGCTTGCACTGGGCTTAATTAAAATTTATTTTTCAAAAGACTCCTTCTTGAAATTTGATTTGTAGTCTCCCAAACACAGAAACTGAGGAAAAGCATTCATTCACATTAGAAACATACTTTTCAGCCTTCTAACTAAGGCAATAAGGAGGAAGATGTAATGCTGCATTCAGATTGTTGGGCATTGTGCTACTCTGGCCTGTAAAACTACTGATCTAAGGGCTTCAAATGGCTTTGTGCTTAACAAAGACAGGCATCTTGCATTACCCTGTAACCATTGATTTAGTTCTTCATAGACAACTCTATGGTAATGTGTTCTGTTTGAACCAGAAAAATATTAAATGAAAGAACAAGCACATTTTTTAAATGTTGAACTTAATATTTTAATTCAGAATAATCTGAAATTCACGAGTGAGTTTAAAGATGGATCTGATTTTTGGCGTGTTGTGACTTGCAATTAGGTATCTTTCACAAATGAAGTTCCAGGTCTCTGTTTTGCTACTTTCACAGTGAAATACATTGTTTAAACATCTTAAAGATAGACACAGTCTCTGCTCTGAAGAGATTTTGCATTTATTTTGCAAACATTTGTATTTTCAGCTCCATGATACTAATGAGCAAGGAGATGCTGTAGTTCCCTGTTTTACTAAGAGGAAAACGCACATTGTGTTCCTCCATAACGCTGATTTGGAAAGTTTGTATCAAACTCAGGAGTAAGGTTCAAGTCAGTATCAGCTTCAGCATCTAAAGGGGCAGCCAGTTTCCCTTTTATGTAATATTGGTGGTTTTTTTTTTCCCCCAGTGTATTACTGAATTGATTAGCACAGTTAGAAAAAGTTATTTCTTGAAATCAAGGTAACTACAGAAGACAGAGGCAAAGAATCTGCAAATCTCTGCTTATGAGTATATATTAAGTACTGCAGACTTAAACTTAGTAAATTGCAACTTTTTTTTGTTGATCCACCTGAATCAAACTAGTCACTGTCCAGATGCTTTATTCTTCAGAAGGAGAGAGTAACTTGATGGATAGTGTGTGTAGGAGCTGCCCTTGTGATCACATTATTATGATATTATTTTTTTTTGCCTTCTACATGCATGTGGCCAGTGCATGGTAGAACTTATCAGGGCACACGTTCACCAAAGCAATGAATTCAGTCTGGTTTCAACTCACTTCAACCTGGTTTATTATTGTTGTTTTTCCTATAAACAGCAGTTTAATTAAATAATGTAGTAATAAGCCCTAAAAATCTTGTTGGCAGGGTCTCTGCTGCAGCTCCCAGCACAGCCAAGAATTTTTTGAGTTCTGCTGCACATGGGTGAACAGTGAGGAAGCACATGTCAGCCTGCACTTTCCTAAAGTAGGCCACAGGCCAGGCCTTGGCACTTTTATGGCTGGGCTATCTGTGCTTTCACAACATGTCCCTGACTCAATTAGAGCTCTGAAATTAGATTAAATTCTTTATAGTCAACTTGGTGTTATTTAATGTAGTTGTTTTAATTTTGTAATAGGGAAATCCTTGGAAAGAATGCAACAGAACCAACAAAGAAGAGGTAAGATTTATTTTATTTTATTTTTATTTTATTTTTTTGTATTGGGTGTAAACTGAAATAAACTCTGATCTACTCACTTTCAGCTGAAAGAAAAATGCTGGCGGGGGTATTGTTTGTTTTTCTACAGCCTGAGCATGCTTTCCTTCTATACAGTTCCAAGAGGTTGACAGCATGATAATATGTATGCTAAATAACAGTAATGTGATTGTGACAAATATGAGCTCCTTACTTGGACAATTTCTGAAGTTCAAAAACCATATGCTTGTTATTGGGTAGACATAGTTCATATTCTGAGTGTGGATTTTTAATGTATATATACTTGAAGCTTTACAATTCAATAATATTGATTTTTTTTTTTTTTTCCAACCATGTCTTCACTTTCCATTTCTGTACATAGCACTGCAAGTACTTGTTTGTGAGGGCCAAGGCTCTTGAGTCTGAGTACTGCCAGGAAGTAGCAGGGCCTGCTCTGTCTCATTCTTCATTTGGCTTGGTTGTTCTGCTATTTAGAGATCTTTATAAGGTCTTATCTGCTTTGAATCTCAGTAAACTTTGAAATCTGAAAAATCTTCAAAATTAAAAAAAAAAAAAAAAAAAGGAAAATAAAAATACACGAATGAGAAAAGAGCTTTTTGGGGGAGGGAGCAAGGGATGGGAGAACGAGTTATGGGCATGTGGTAAACTGTAGCAGTGGGATGCATGTCTTCTTCAAAATAAGCATACTCTTTAATTGTTCCCTCCTTCCTCCAACAGACTTCAGGAAATAATTGTTCAGATTTTATAAAACCATCTTTTGTTGCACCTGATATTGATTTGTTGTAAATTTTATATTGGTGCTAAATATACCTTTGTTATTTTTCTGTAGTGAGAAGCAACTGGAATGTTTGTTGACACACTGCGTTAAAGTGCCAATGCTTGTTCTGGATCCTGCACTGCTGACCAACATTACGCTGAAAGACCTCCTGTCCATTCATCCTACTTTACAAGCTGCTAACAATATGTTCTTTGTAGCAAAACCAAAAAATCCTTCCACCAACGTGACAGTAATTGTTTTTGATAACCCTAAGGATGGTAAGAGTCCTTTTGTCAGATTCCAGATGGTTTTCCAGAGTTTTTATTTTGTTTTTCTTCTGACTCTGCTACTAATTTTCTTTTTGACTTTAGCAAGTCATCTAGTCTCTCTCCCTCAGTCTCATCCTCTAAATGATGACATCAGAGATAGTGGTTCTTACCTACCAGACAACTGATTATGAAAGATTAAACAGTTCCGTGCTTTAAAGTACTACTGCAAAAACAAACCTGTTATCTGACAATCAGTGTTGCATTGATAATCTCACAAGACTGAGGATTAGATTTAGAAATGTTTTTTTACTTGCTGTACTATATAGGCTGTATGTTGTGCAACACTTCTGCCCTTCCTTAAACGATTGCACACCTTAAATTATCTGTATGTTCGACACACGTAAGTAGGCTCTTAGAACAGGCATAGGCTTCTTATTTAAAGATGTAGTCAACCCACTACCACCCACTTGCCCAAACTTCACTAGTGTTTGTTTTATCACCAAGAATTATTTGCCAGGTATAAAGACAAATCTTCACTCCTTAAACATTCAACAGTTTTCAATTTGGAAAAATATATTTTAGTTACTGCAGTATAGAACAGAAGTGAATTCCAGTTTTTGATTGCCAATGCATTTTATTTATCCTAGCTGAAGCTGCCCATTCTGGAATGTTGAAAGACAACAGCAAGCATATAGTATGGAGGGGTTACTTGGTATGTACTTTCAAAAGTTGTTAATTCTTTTTGCTTTTGTGTATCTTAAACTTTGTGTGTTTTTAGGAAGTATTTCTGTGCTATTCTCTCTCCATAACTCACATACAGTAAGAAGTGAAAAATGTTTTAAAATTACCCTTATTTCAATTTTGCAGTTTAAGTTAAATGATAAACTATATGCTATTAAATCTATCAGCTGCTGAAGGGTTAACAAATGATGTAAATTACTGTAGATGTTTAAAAAAAAAAAAAAAAAAGGACTGCCTTTGTACCCTATATTCTTGTTTTTAGACTACAGACAAAGAAGTTCCAGGTCTGGTGTTAATGCAAGATTTGGCCTTCCTTAGTGGATTTCCAGCTACATTCAAAGAAACAAATCAGCTGCGAACAAAACTACCAGAGAGCCTGGCCTCTAAAGTAAAATTGGTAAGGATCTGGAGTAAAGAGTAACTTATTTGTATTGTTTTTGTTTGCTTATTTTGAATGCTTCCTACAGATCTTGCCTATCTAGCAAGAGAACTGTTGCAGGTGATGTCGTCCTATTTCTGATAGTAATCTTTTTTTGTGTGTATGTGAGACTCTTCTTGAATTGTGAAGAATAGTAAACAGTAGATCAGTTGCCTTCCAAATGCCAGTTTTCCATTCTGTGACTGTAAGTTATCATAGAGTCAAAGAATCATAGAATCACTAAGGTTGGAGAAGACCCACAGGGTCATCCAGTCCAACCATTATTAGGTGTTAGATTTGTTAGCCTGCAATAAGTAAAATAAAATGCTATATTTATCAGTTTCTCTTAGCCATTTGCTATAGACTACTGCCTTACTGAAGTGTACTGAATCACAGGATTTTTTGATGTGACAGAATTTTGTTTGTGTGGTTTCTTAGCTTTTTTTTTCTCCTTCTTTGGTTTTGGAAGAGTTATCTTAGTAGTGAAAGCAATTAAATTTTTCACAGCTGAACGTTGTATTTATTTCTTCCAACTACTCTGTATGGTCCTAAGCCAGTTATACATCAGCTTACCCATCTGCAAGGCAACAAAAGATCATAACTTATATGATTGTGTCACTCACTGACATTTTGTCTTTCATCTTCTCATGACATTTGCACACCTTTTGCAGTTACAACCTGATTTAACAGATAGAAAGCTGCAGAACTCTGTGAAAATCACTGACTCAGGCATTGGAGAGATGAGACTAAGCTCTCTTTCTGAAGTAAGAGCTTAACGAGGTGAAGAATAGCTGGTCTGCTACCAGTTAACCAAGTCCAGTACTCTGTAAAGGGAGCAGCACAGAGACGATGGTAGTTTGAGAGGGGCTGAGAGAGAGAGTGATGTGAAGGGAATTAAAAAGGTGTGTAGAGAACCGGGATGTCAGTCCATACAAAAAATGCCTTCATTTTTTTGATGTCTACTTATAGGATGTAATAATTCACTTTGTGACTTGTTGGTGCTTGAAAGAGCATGACTTGCTTTCCTTGTATCTCTTTAGCAGGCTAGGTTATCAAATCATGTATTGTGCTACAGCTGAATAAAGTGTAGCTGGTTTCGTAGGCTGGTCACACTCCAGATGAATGCAGGCTGAATTTCTTGTCTTGGCTCCTGTTAGAAGATTGGTTAGAATCTTGTTAACAATGGCTAGGAATAATACTAAATAAACATATTTGTACCTCTCTTCCTACCGCTCTTAAGTAGCTTAATATAAATAGCTCTTAATTAGCTTTTAAAACTTAAATAGCTCTTCTCTTTTGATTTTGTTTACATCTTCTGTGTATTTGTAGAGATATGACTGTAAGATATGACTTTCTCCTAGCATTTTTTTGTCTCACTGGATTAATTAGGCAGTTAATACAGTTAATAATTTTTTTTTTTTCATTCCAGCAGTATCTCCTAGCAGTATTTATTACTCCAGCAAAAAGCATGGATTATTTCTGCATTTCAGTTCTGCATCTTGGGTCCAAGTAACTGTCTAATCTGCTTTAACAAATTCTGAAGAATGCTATACTTTCTCTAGGGTTTTAGATTCCCTTTCAGATGAATGTTAAGATGCCAGAGATGCAGCGTCTCTCCTTGTCTCTTCATGGGAGTGACATCCAATGCCTCTTATCTTTCTTCTACAGGATTTTTCTTTACCTTGTCTTGATTGTTCAGTATTTGTCAACAGTTGTCATCCTTTGTGTGCTCTTACCTTTCTGTAAACGTTATCATTGTGACCAGCTCATTATCTGTTCCTAAGAGCTCCTCTTTGCTATTTGGTTAGATGTTTCTCTGTGTAAACAGTTTTTTCAACAGGTATCCATTGCATTCTGCAGATTCTCCACTTTGTTGTCATTGTGTCATTTTTGTTTGTGTTCCACCTGGTAGTAGAAACTTTAGAGCATTTAACCTGAGATTAGTGTACTCTACCTGCACCCTACCTAGTGAGGTAGGCAGCAGTTTCTTTGCCAATCAGTTGACTAATCAGCAATTTGTTCATGTTAAATCTATAATGGAATATGTGAATATAAAGATAAGTTGCTTATTTAGCTTTGCACATGAAATGTGTATATAATTTATTGTTATAGACTCATGCCAGTTCTTCTAGTGGAAGCTGTAGGTAGGCAGCTGTGATAAATATAACCAGGTAAGGTTCCTCTTTACCAACTAGAGAGATGCTAGGTTAATGCTACTGCTAGGTAGAAGAAAGGTTGGCTGTTCAGTCTCCACTGAATCATAGAATCATAAAATGATCAAGGTTGGAAAAGGAAAAGGTTGGAAAAGATCATCCAATCCTACGGTCCACCTATCACCAATGTTTCCCACTAACCATGTCCCTCAGTACTACATCTAAAGTTTTCTTGAACACCTCGAGTAACTGTGACTCCACCATCTCCCTGGGCCTGTGCCAGTGCCTGACTGTATTTCCTAACATCCAACCTGAATCTCCTCTGGTGCAATTTGAGGTCATTCCCTCTAGTCCTGTCACTAGTTACGTGTGAGAAAAGGCCAACTTCCACCTCACCACAACTTCCCTTCAGGTAGTTGTAGGCAGCTATTAGAAAAGAAGATTGAAGATTGTAGTGATTTCTTTACAGTTGATGCTTCTGGAATCTAAGGTCTGTAAAGTGGTGTGAGATGCGTGGTGGAGAGAAATAAAGTTACACTTGCATTAGGCTAGACTTGTCTTATCACTACCTCCCATTTTTTAATGGATTCTTTCCTAGTCTCTTTAATGGCAGTTTCCTACTGCAATGCTGAAAGCAAAGAAAATGTAACTTAAAATTTCGTCTGTAAAAACATCTGAGCAGTTTTTAGAAGGGAAGAATTGTAGGAAGTGGAGACGTGGAGGAATGTATCTTGCTGAGTATTGATAATGCTGCTTTAATCAGATCATTTTCATTTGATTTAATCACTTCTCAATCCAGAAAGCACTAAAAATTGCTCTTACCTCTGGACCACACTTTTTTTTTTTCTAAGAAGCTTCAGTGGTTCTCTGAGAGAAGCAGTTGTGCTTATCAAAAGGGGGTTTCCAGGGTGTATTATGTGTTTTACAGTCTCCTGAATTTTTGTACTTAACGGCCTGCGTTGCAGTGTAATAATATGGAAACTTCATTCCTTTAGAGTGGTAAACAGCAGTATATCTGCTGGTCGCATTTCTTGCTTTGCATTGCCTGTGTTTTAACAAGCGTGGTTGGAAATGTTTGGCTTTCTATTATTTCCCGTGCTTTCTTAATAACGCATTAGTAAACCACTAGGTGGGGATGTTACTCTGATTATATGCTTGTTTGCTGCTAAACAGTATTTACTTAGAGGCTGGAGAGATGTTAATTGAACTTAAACATGCTGAAGAGGAGCTGGTAAAAAATATTCTTTACTCTTCCTTCCCTTGCCCCTTATCTATGTTTCTAAACAAGACTGTTATTTTTCAGCCTGAAATAGAACCTTGTGACCCAAAAACTAGGGAGCTGGTGGTGATGTGAAGTTTGACAAGGGAGGGTTTGAAGGGTTTGGTTTTGTTTTTGAGACCATCATACTTTTTTCCACTGATATATAGTGTATTTCTTTGTACAAAGGTGACTTTCTCTGAAGATTCAGTATCCTGACTGCTTCAGATGAAGTTGAAGGTTTGCACATTTCCTTTGTAAAATTCTGATTTCTCTTTAATGTGCACACGCATATGTGGACAAATTGTGTTAGAAACCAAGGTGCATGGTTGTCATTTACTGCCCTTATCTTACTGATGAAAGGAAATCTACATAGGAGCCTGTAGGCACTGTGAAACTGGATGTTTCTGGATGCCCTTGACAATGGGGTTCTGGGATTCCTGCTGCATCAGACAGTTGGCATCAGGAGCTGTTGCTGTGTGTTCTCAGAGCCAGTTCTAGGAGGGGAGCCTTGAGGCATTGTGTTGGTTTTGACTCTCAGAGAAGGTTCTCCTACTATTTTACTTTATAAAAAGGAAACTCGGTGAGTGTACAGTGACCTCAGTATTTCATACTCACAAGACCTTTTCCACCTCTTTGACACAACACAAGTCTTCTCCACCCCAGCCTCACCTCTCCTTGCTATGTGGGCATGTGGCTTTTCCTAGTATTCATATGGGAGCATGAAAAAAAGGAGCATCTTACTTCCTATCCAGCTTACTTCCAAGTGTAGACTTAGCAGTGTGAAAGGTGTTGGCTCTGAAGGAGAACTTGCACTTGAAGTTACCTGATGTGGAAAATGCTGCTTTCCGTGGGTGGTGGTTGATGTGCCAGCCTGCTGGGTGTCTTCTCAGCTGTTCCTGATAGAAGCCAAAACTTGCTGGATCACTCTGACTCTTGGCACTTACCTGCTTGCTTGCTTCTGTTCTGCTTTTACAACATCACTGGTTTGTCTGACCAGTTTGATCAGGATGAAAGCAGTCTCCAGAATATCGTATTTCAAGAAAATGGGTAACTGCATGCCTCCTCACTGAGAGGAGGATAATAGGTATGAGACTTTGGAAAATCTGCAAGGGAGAGTGCTATTTAAATATACCAGCAACAGAAAGTTCTGATCAAAGCTTGAAGAATTTTAGAGGTGTGGTAAGTCATGTCATCAGGAGACTTCATTGGAATCTAAATTTATCCATAGCACTTCTTATGAAAATACTTTTTTTTCTGAAAAAACCACACTACTGGTGTAAAAACTAAAACAAGCTCCTAAGTTAATTGGTAGTACTTACTTTTCTTCTACTTGTTTGTACTTGGACTGTTAGCATTTAAGCTTAAGCTTTTTAAAACTATACTAGTTGGGATCAATAAATCTTGTGGAAACAAGTTAAAGAGAAACTAAATAATCTTAAGTACTTCTTCTAGGGTAGCAATGTTTGGTTTGTTTTATGTATAGGTGACAGGTTCTAAGGGACTGTGTGACACTGTTGTATTCCTAAATAAAGCACATAACCACTAATGGTAGCTTGGCAATCTGTAGTATTCAGATATTTTAGGGGGTTGCTAGTTGCAGTCTGTAAATATACCTCAGCCACTGAACTACTGAAGCCATCCTTTCCACCCATAGGTTCAGATGATTCCCTGGAAGGTCTGAGATTTATCAGATTTTTCTAATGGCAGGCTTCATAAGTCAGATTGAAAGATCTCAAATAGCATATGACTCAAAGCATCAACAGCTTTAAAATGTCACAAGTGAGACAGCTGGTCTTGCTAAGGGAAGGGGTGCTGACTCTGGGACAAGTGGTGTTTTAAAATGAGCAGAAACAGTCGAATTTAATAAATAAAAGAAAAAAATCTGTAAGAGAATTATGAGGGTAAAAAGGATATTTTTTTTGCTGTCTTCTGACCTGTCAGTATTTAAAATGTTATTTATTGCTTTTACAGATAGCATCCAACTGTGAAAGTCTGATAGATGTGCTTATTAGTCTGATGCTGCATGGAAGTACAAAAATTAAGCATTGCATCTAATAAATATTGTTAGTGGTTAACTGCATTTGTTCTCAATCTGAGTGTTGTTGAATGCAAGCATTTGGAGTGTGAAAGTGCAGCTGTACTTTGAGCACAGCATCTTCTCACATTCCTGCATATGGTAAATGCAGTGTTTTATTGGGCTATGCTGTATTTTTACGGAAATGTTTCACTGCCCTGCAATCTGTGTTATAATACTATTAGATGGGACATCTACTGCAAGCTGCTGCTTATCCTGTGCATTATGAAATCTGATAGCCAGAATTACTGGTGGCAAGAGATAAAAACAGCAAACAGATCAAACAGTCTCCAACTAAGAAATGACCTTAACAGTGAATTGGCAACCAACATTAAGGACTCAGAGACCCGCATGGATTAGTCCTGGAGCCCTTTGTATCTCAGATTTCTGAACTGTATGTTGATCTCTAAACCATTCTGAATATTTCACGCTTCTGACAGCGAAGATGAATTGGTGGCCTTAATTTCCTCAGAAAAGTAGTGGTTGATTAAAAGGGGCAAAATATGATTCTTTCAGCCATGTAAGAGTTGTGGTAATTCACAAAATCACATTTTGTTGTTAGAGGTAGGAGACAATGGAGGAGACTTATTCACTTAAATATTTCTAACACAGACAGGCTTACTGTTGCTGGATTATTGTGTTAAGTGAAATATTTGTTTTGGAAAGTGAAGGCTTTACATCTAGAAGTGTTCTATATCTTAAAATGCTTTTTATTTCCTGTTTTGTTACCCCTTTTTTGTGTTCTTACAAAATTGTACTTCTCTAAAAACAGTTTACTAGTCATTTTTACTGGTAATGCCAGCAAGAAAATAAAACAGAAAGATTGAGTTGGCCAAGGAATAGTGCTGCTGTGGGTACATGCCAAACATTATTTTCTCCATTTGTAGTTGCAGCTCTATTCAGAAGCCAGTGTGGCTCTTTTGCAACTGAATAACCCCAAGGGTTTCCATGAACTGAGCAAACAAGCGAAGAAGAACATGACTATAGATGGAAAAGAATTAACACTTAATCCTGCTTACTTATTGTGGGACCTGAGCTCCATCAGTCAGGTAGGTAAACCCTGTTACAGAACGTAAAGGTTGCAGTGTGCAGAGGCTTACAATTAACTAATTAATGATAAGGAGCATGGGATTTCTTTAAAAAATTGGATGTGGTAAGGTATTTATTATGTTGTAATTAAATGCCATAAGAACACTGCCAAATTCTAAAATCAAAAAGGAGGAAGCATCATGAAGAGTGGCATTTCATTTATTAGAGAAGAAAGAAATTTCAGTTAAGAATTTTGCCCTCTGCATGTGTTCTTATAAGGTTGTGGACAGTAAAGTCCCAAAAGGCTTAATTGATGCTGACAGGTAAACAGATTGCTTGTGTGTGGGAGAGAGACAAGGTTTTATTAACAAACATGATTACCTTTTTCCCAATATGTTTCTTAGGGTTTTGTTGTGGTGAGTTTGTTTGTTTGTTTAGTTTAGTTTGGGGTTTTTATTTTGCTTTTCAGTCTTATATTTGCTGAACAAATGCTGATCACTTCTCTTCTGAAAGAAATTAAGTACAGGTCCGTAGGGAACGGAATTGTAATTTGAATAAGTAATAAATGCAAGAATGTTAAGTTTATCAAAAGGAAAACAAACAAAATCACCAGGATAGCTCTTTCAAGATGAGATCTAAAATCTTGTTTTTTCCCTTAATAATGTCAAGTAGCATGGGTAAAGTAAATGTGCCCTTTCTAATAATGCTTATAGTCTTTTTTTGTAGCCAGTTAACCTGGATTTGGGGAACTTTTGCTTATTGTTACAGTCCACAAACTCAAATTTTATATTTTGCCATGTTTAAATTATTCATCTTTTTGTAAATGGGCACTTAGCTGATGTTGTTTTAAATGTTTTCATTTATGTTTTGGAGAATCCGTATATTGTTATTGTATATATTGGAAAAGGAGACTTATTTACAGTGCATAGAATTTGCAGTGAAAATTCAATGTTTGACAATTACCATTTTTTTCCCCTCAAGCATCCTGTTCTAATTGGGCATGGTTCCTTTAGAAGTATTCTTAATGACAACTTTAATTCTCAGCTTAGAAAGAGGCCATTAAGTTCTTATAAATGGAAAAGAAATGGTAAAAAGCATGTTTGTTACTTACCTGAGAAATTTCTTATTTAAATGTTTCCCTTTAAAAAAAAAAAAAAACAAAAAAAAAAAACTTACAGAAATCTTTAGTGCAGCTATTTGGTAGTGAATGTTAGGATTAAATTAGCTGATTGCCCTTTTTTTTTTTTTTTAATGAAAGTCCAACAGATAATTGAAGAGCAGCTACATCATCACTCTTGCAGTATCTCTATATTAGGTGACACAGTTATATATGGTTTGTGATGTGATGTGCTTGGAAGGCCCCAGTCTCTTAAAACAGCAGTTCTGAAAGGTGATGTTACTGATATGAAATGCAACTTGGCTTTTGATCAAGATCAGCAAATAATTGAGACTGATAATTCATAGGAGAAGAGGGTGGGAGTTTTTGTTGTTTTTGTTTGTTGTTTTGTTTTTAATTGAGGTTCTTTCTTCACGAGCTGGATCACACGAGGCACTGTCATCTTGCAGTGTGGTCAGCAGATGACCTGATGATACCAAGTGATGAGCCACTGATGTACTGTTCACCTTGACCATTTAGTAGAGTATAATCCTCTAGAGGAATATCAGTACTTGATCATTGTATTTTTATTTTTTTTTTAATCTCTAAGTCTCAATTACTTATGACCCATATGGTAAAGGATTCTATTGTTATCTGGCTGGATTGGAACTTAAACGGTTTGTTTAAAGTCTAAAAGATTCTTCTTTTTTTATAGTCTAAACAGGATGAAGATATTTCTGCCAGCCGGTTTGAAGATAACGAAGAGCTGAGGTATTCCTTACGATCAATAGAGAGACACGCTCCTTGGGTGCGACATATTTTCATTGTCACTAATGGGCAGATTCCTTCCTGGCTTAACCTGGATAATCCCCGGATAACTATAGTGACCCACCAGGTAAAAACAAAAAAGACTCCCATAGATAAGCAACAAAAAACCTCCAACCCTGGGGGAGAAAAAACAAAACAACAAAAAGCCACAAAACCAACCAAAAAAACCCACCCAACAACAATAAAGAAAAAAGCACGAAAGTACCATTAATAAAGATTCTGTTTTGAAATGCAGTTATTCCCTTTCAGCTGAAGGCTGCTTTTATTAGGAACGAAGTGACCAACTCTCCCCTTTCCCATGCAGTGTTTTGTTAAACCCCAGTATGTTTTAGTACTTCAGATGCAGATATCTCAGGTGAAGCAGGTAACTGAAGATATATCAAGCCTTCACTGAGTTAATTTCTCCAAATACTAAGATTTCAGCCAATGTGAACTAATTTCCTGATAAAAGAACGTTTCTTAAAAAATGACAAAAGACATATGGCAAGAAAAGATAATTTGTATCCATGAACTCAAAACTAGTGCTAACCTAATAAATTTGCTGACAGGGTGGACAACAATTGTTAAAATGAAGAAGGTGGCACCAAAAATCAAGTAGCTATGCGTTCTGTAAAGCTTATTTAAAAGAGAAAGGGAATCCTGCAAGCTTCCCAAATAAGTGAAACAACAAAAATACTCTAGTTGTTTCTTAATACAAAATCAAAAGTAAGTTTGATCTGTGGATATGACATAGCAGCCCTGAGCAACTTAAGTGGTAACATGATACTAATTCAATTTCTGTAGCTATCTGCTTTCTAAATTATCTGAAAGAGATGGAAGAACGCTGTTTGAGTGTTGGACCAGATTCAACTTGAAATTTTGTTCTTCCTGTACTGCGCAAGTAGTATAAATATATGTACACTGGGCCTGATCCAGTAGCCAGTGAACTAGATAGTTTCTGTCTTTGTATTGAATGAGGTGCAGATTTTTGTTAAGCATCAGACATGAAAATGGTTTTACATGGGAGAAGGAAAAAGAGAAGTCTCAGTTTTTTGCTAATGTTTTTTCACTTTTTTTCTTTTATATGTCTCTTCTTGTTCGTTCAGGAAATATTTCAGAATGTGAGTCACTTGCCAACCTTCAGTTCACCAGCTATTGAAAGCCACATTCATCGTATCAATGGTCTCTCTCAGAAGTTTATCTATCTCAATGACGATGTTATGTTTGGAAAGGATGTTTGGCCTGATGATTTTTACAGTCACTCTAAAGGTCAAAAGGTAAGCTGTTATGAAATAATGTTTTAGACTTGAAACTTCTCTGTGCTAATATAGCAAAAAATGAAGAAACACTACTTGGAAAGAGAGAGAAAGGTACTATCCCTTCTCTCTTCTTATACCTCTAATGGATCATTATTCTTAGCTGGACAATTGCTAGCAAAGGTATCACGTAATTGTGTTGTGTTGATGCTTGCAGAATTACCTTTTGGTATTTTCTCTCTTTTTTTTTTTTTTAATGGCATGATAGTCCTCTGTTTGGCTTCGCTTTGTAATTTTTGTTCCCCAATTCTTCCACTTTCTGTGTGAGCACTGGGAAGACCTATTTGGTGTTTGAAAGCTGTCACTTGTCCCATAAAACAAAAATAATTCACAGGAAAATGTTCTGTTCCGAATAGATTCTTCCATGGAAATGCTGAGATCTGATGATGTTCAGACTAGTCTAATATTTAAATTTACCATTAACAATCTCTATTCTAGAGACCTACAATGCCTTTGCCAAATCATTGTAGAATTATATGTAACTGTGTACTGAAAGATAGTGCTTTTAGTGAAGATGAAGTGGCTTAGTCTTTCAACAACAAACCTGTCATAACTGGGGTTAAATAAAGAAAACAGGCTGAGGACTATAGTTGTGCTTATAGACTATGGGATACCAGCAAAGTTTTCAGACAGCTTGATCTACAGGAGTAACATGGAGAAAAACTTTAAAACTAGCATACTGTTTTAATAGAAGTAATAGATAAAAGGGGATCCAGAAGATGCTAGAGACCACTGTATGAGTGCTTCATACAGACAGAAGTGCACACACCTACACTGAGTTGTATAAAATAAACGACTGTAAAAATACTAATTTCTAGTACTTGAGGACATTAGAAGGCTTTGTCTACTTAACTCTTTGAAGTAGTCATGTAATAGAGTCCTATTTTAATGGCATTTCTATTGTTCTTCAGTTATTGCTCTCAGTTATAAGAATTAAGCTTGGGTAAAATATTTGTGATACCTCATCAGTATTTTAGTAGCAAATGTGCTGCAAAAATCTTGAAACAGCAACGTCTAAAGGAAAATGTATGTGGTTTTTAATTCCCTCTCAGTTGAAAGTGCACATACTGACATGCCTTATTTTTATCTTGGTAATTCTAAGAATTATTTGATCAAAGAGAATCAGATGTTCAGTGTGTGCTTCTTATCTCATGACTGGTTAGTGATAAAGAAACATCTTTAGTCGTGGAAACAAGTGAACTGCAGAGCCATTTTAGATTGAAGTTTCCTCCTTTATCAGATTTTTTTTTAAAAAAAGATAAAAAATACTTATTTTCATTTGAAGATGTTTTGCAAAAGTGGATTTGGGATGTCCTGCTTCCTATTTTCAGCCACTGCTGTCTTGCTCCATAGCCAAGAGATCTCATTTAACATGAGACTTGATCTCCTTCTGTTTGAAAGGGATAACATTTATTTCACTTGATGAAGTTTAAATGCACTTTGTAAAACTTTGCAGGCACTGAAGACACTATATACAGAGAGTAATTATTTTCAGTCTCTGTATTCCAAGAAACAAGCTCAGCTGACATTTATTTGACAGACCTTGGCTCAAACTGTAATATTGTTCCAGGTTTACCTGACTTGGCCTGTGCCAAACTGTGCTGAAGGATGTCCTGGTTCATGGATCAAAGATGGTTACTGTGATAAAGCCTGTAATAACTCGGCTTGTGATTGGGATGGAGGTGACTGCATTGGTAAGACAACAAGGTTAATTTAGGGAAAAAAACCCAGACTTTATTTTTTGTTAAAATTCTGTAATATGTGATTCTTCTGTAACTTAAACAAACAAAAAACAACCTTCCGTAACAGGGGAAAAATAGTCATCCTAAATATTAAAGATAAATAAATTCATGTATAGTAAAAGGTATGTAAATTGGCAGCAGTTGATCAAAGGAAAACCTTTTTTTAGCTATCAAAGTTGATTACATGACAGGAACATTTTTGAACCTCAGAATCCAAATAATATTGCACTTTCAAGGGAATTTTGTCCTGGTTTCATTTCCTTAAGAAAATTCTGTTGTTCAGATAACAAAACAAGTAAGAAAAGAGAGATGGGTAGATTAACTAAGAACCATGAACAGAATATCAGTATCTGAGGCGTTTAGTATTGCATTGTAAATTGAAGTTGTGTGGATATGGTGACAGTGTTTTGCATAGTAGTACAGGTCATACAGTTTCCTTTCACTTTCATACTTTTTAATATTGCTTGCTTCATATTAATGTTAAACTTAAAGTTGATTCTGCATTTAAGTGTCTGACCAGAGTAGTTGCTGGAAAGTTTATTTGCACAAGAGTTTTATGATACAATTTAATTTTCAAAATTCTTACCCACTTTCCCTTCATGGAGGAGGCTGTTTGTACATGCTCCTCTCCTAAATTTCACTTTGTTTTTAAAGCCACAATCAAATATAGTCTAAGTAGATTTTGTCACTTTTCTGATTCTGATCTGTGTTCCACTGCTTTTTCACTTTTGCATCTGTTTCCATGCCTTGAAACTCCTTAACACTATCTGGAAGTGAACACTGGAGTAACTTGGATTACAAGGTTCCTTTCTACCTCCTTTCCTATTGAACACTTAAATAGAGATTTATTTTCATCCTTTATGAAGCTAGAGGATGATCCCCTCTCTCTTTTCCTCCCAGAAAAGCCATGATGATTGTGACATGCAGGAAAAGTGAATCATTTGACATGAAAGCAGTCAGAGCAGTCTAAGTTCATTGTGAAGCTGCACCTAAATTCAATTTTCCAGACTGTAGGTTATGAAAATGAAGAGAAGCTTCTGCGCTGAGGAAGTGATGCAGTACTGTGGGGAACTGCAGAGTCAAGAATGCAAGCAGAAGTAAATCAGTTTTCTGCCTACATTTTTGAAGTTAATATAAAATACATTGCTGTTTTTGTTGCAGTTTTAAGTTGGTTTGCAAAACTCTACAGTGAGATTTATATATACATATATATATAAAATTATATATAATAAAGATTTTACAATTGTACACAGAGTGTTAGTTAATTGTGTTTCAATTTTTCTGTTGATAAATAAGATTCTGCTGACTTTTCAATCCAGTTTTAACACTATATACTACAATGTCCTTTCCTCAGAAATAAGAATTTCAAATGATTGATTTTTGTAATTTTTCTTTTTTCTATTTAGGTAACAGTGGGGGTAGTCGCTATGTTGCTGGTGGTGGTGCAGTAGGAGGTATGGGGAATGGACCACCGTGGCAGTTTGGTGCAGGAATAAGTGGTGTTTCATACTGTAACCAAGGTTGTGCTAATTCCTGGCTAGCAGATAAATTCTGTGATCAGGCCTGCAACGTCCTCTCCTGTGGATTTGATGCTGGTGATTGTGGACAAGGTATGCAAAATAGATAACTGGTAAATCTTCTTTTGAATTTCTCTTGTATTGCATTAAGTTTTTTGGTTCCTTATTCTCCAATAGTTCTAAGAGCCCAGCAGTGTCATGAAAGAGAGCTGCTAGCAGCTGAAAGAAATAATCAGGCACTTCCTGTATTCGCTAATCTAAACTTGAATGAATTTTTGCATGCTATTTTCGTTAATCAGTATTTACCAAGCATTGATAAGGTAAGGTGCTTGATATCTTATGGAACAGCGAGCATCTAAGTCATTACCCAAGAGGCTTACACTTACAGTGCAGAAATTATATTTCAGCTATGCAAACTGTCTTTACCCAAATGAGAACAGCTGATTTGATGATCTCATAATGGTTAAAAAAAGAAATTAAAGAACCTCCGTGATGCTGAAGGTGAGAGTTAAGCCAGACTCTGCACTCTTGCCAAAGGCTACTTTGTCACCTGTGGGTTCTGCTGTGGAGTGAGTTTCCTGCATGTGTCTTTTCCTAGTGTGCTGCTGGCTACAGAGGCTTTCATCTTTTAATTGTGGTGTTCAAATGTGTGAGCAACTGGATTTAGGATGGACTTGTGAATCTTATTGTATTTAAGCCACGAACCATGCCATGGAGGAGGGGGCATCAGTAGTGAGTGGAAGGAAAATTTCATTTCAACCTGTCAGATTTTGAAATCAAGATGCAATGTAGTAGTGAAAAGCAACTTTTGTAAAGCGAGTCTACTAAAATATGACAAAAATGTAATATGAGCACGTTACTTACAACTGATACTTAATTATTAGTGAGTTGCAGTAATGAGCCTACTAAGCTATTTATGTAGAAGGAGTGTTTTTTAGAGTTGCAGTTATTTTTATAATTGCCACTGGAATGAATGTCAGGTTTATAATTCTGTTCTAGTAAACCATTATTAAAGATTAGTAAGAAGTCAGAAGCCACAGTAAGTGTTCTTTCACAAAGTGGTCTCGCTGCTGGGTATATTACACCTAAAACAGATTGGTGGAAGAAAAGCCTCACTACACATTGACAATTTTTTTTTTTTTCCCAGATCACTTTGAAGAAATGTACAGGGTGACGCTTCAACTAAATCAGACCTACTATGTTGTTCCAAAAGGTGAATGTCTGCCCTATTTCAGCTTCAGTGAAATAGCCAAGAAAGCAATTGAGGGTTCATATAGCGATAATCCAATTATCCGACATGCTTCAGTTGCTAACAAATGGAAGACTATCCACCTCATAATGCACAGTGGCATGAATACGTCTGTGATCTATTTTAATCTTACATTTCTAAATAAAAATGATGACGAGTTTAAAATGCAGGTAGCTGTTGAAGTTGATACTAGAGAGGAACCAAAACCGAACACAACTTCAGTGCAAAAATCTGACTCTGATTTTAAAACAACAACAATACCAGAAGCTGAGATGATATTTGAAGATATTCCCGAAGAAAAACGCTTTCCAAGAGTCAAGAGACATCGAAATGGCACAGGAGAGAGTATCCATGAAGAGGTGATAATACCTTCAGTAAATCCATCTCTTCTTCCTGAAAGTGTTCAACTAGCACTGCAGAACTTAGACTTAAAACTAGCAAATGGTGATATCACTCAGAAAGGATTTAACCTATCCAAGGCTGCTCTCCTGAGACCTTTTCAGTTCTTAACTACTACAGTAAAGAAGATTGCAGGTCTGGAAGAGAATGAAGTGCATTATAGTCTACAAGATCAGAAGAATATAACCAGCTGGCAGAAGCCTTATGAAGAGGTGAACAATGGGAAAATAGAAAAAACAAAAGCAAATGATGAATTTCAACCAAGGCTTATAGGAACAAAGGAGACTGATGTGACAGTGAACACAAATAAACCAATTTCTAGGATAAAGCCTAAAACCACACATCCAGCCCGGAGCATAGGAAATGAAAATGAACCTAAAGATAAAGTATTGAATGCGCTTATATTAAGGGGAACCCAGAAATCAAAAAATATTGCGAATGTAGAAGCTGGAGAAGATACAGAGGGGATGGAAGGAAGAAAAGGGCATGTACAGTTGGATACAAATATAAGAGAGGAGTTAGTAGGAAGAAAATTGCAGTCTTATGCAGGAAGTTACCAAGGCTTTTTGCCATGGGAGAAAAAGAAGTATTTCCAGGACCTTCTTGATGTGAGTATCTTAACAACTTAGCTAAGACAGTAGGTTAAACCACAACAACTGCTTATTGAAGTAGTTGCATCTACTGTTAATATGATTTGTAAATTTAGAATGTGACTTGCTTTTGATGCACCTATCAAGATTTTTTGCAAGCTCTTTGAGTTTTCCTGTAAAATCTAATTTGTTTATAATTTGGACCTCTGTTAGCTAGGTGGTAAAAGTCAAATAGCCATTTCTGTTTTGTTTCTACTGTGGGTTTTCTTGTTTATTTATTTATTTATTTTTAAGTCAGATTCACTTCTTTTTCAGTGCATGTTGATGCAGTGATATTATTTGGACACACAGTATTCTAAAGAAGCATTAGTTCTTTGGGGGTTACACTTATACCAGTGTGGATGCAGTCCATAAAAGTATACAAATACAAATGAGTTCTAAAAGTTAAATTGAAAGTCTGCCAAACTTCCAGCCAAAGCATTTTGGCAGTTTTGAAAACCTCTAGAAGAAAAGATAGAGGCTGTGCTTTGCAGCAACTGCTTTGCACTACTCCACACAGCAAAGGTGGTATGTTTCTAAAAGCCTACCTCTTTCTGTTCTTTAGGATTGGATTTTGCATGAGAAATCTTTTTTTGTGAGATCTCAACTACTATATGTGGGGGGAAAAAAAAAAGGGCAATATTACAAATATAGCAAAAAGTGATTCAAGGGTGTATGTCAGAAGAGGTGACAGAAGAAAAATAATGAATAATAACCACTATTAACCACTTTTCCTCAGAGCATAGCAGTTTTAAGTAAGAAGTTATCTTCTATTTCTTTTATTTTTAAAGAGAAATCAAAAGAACACAAAGAAACATATTCAAAGCTTCTCTTTCCATTTTTGTCTCTTAAAAAAGAATCAGCACCTGCTTGAAATGTCAGTTTTCCTATGTGTTTATGCTTTTGATCTTTGTTGATAATATAACTTCAATGTATGCTTATCTTGCTGTTTAGGAGGAAGAGTCATTACTCAAAGAAATGTCATACTTTACTGATGGTAAACATCTTGGAAGGCAGCTGAAAGATACATTTGCTGATTCCCTTCGATATGTAAATAAGCTTTTAAACAGTAAATTTGGATTTACATCTCGGAAAGTCCCTGCTCATATGCCTCACATGATTGACCGCACTGTTATGCAAGAGCTGCAGGACATGTGAGTATGTCTTTCACTGGAGTTATATGTAACTAGATAATTTTATATTTCTGTTAATGCTTTGTTATAACTATTTCTAATGTGTTGATAGCTATTCATACAAATCATATTTTGGAAAGGGAAACTTATTAAAACATGCTGGTTGTGCTAAGCTAAGGAGACTTTTGAGAACCTTTTAAAAATTTAGATGAGAATTTGTTTTCAGATGAGCAATGTTTTACCAGAAACCAGTGTATTAACTTATACTTTTATGTAGGTTTCCTGAGGAGTTTGACAAGACATCATTTCACAAAGTGCGGCACTCAGAAGATATGCAATTTGCTTTTTCATATTTCTACTATCTTATGAGTGCAGTTCAACCACTGAATGTTTCTCAGATCTTCGATGAGGTCGATACGGACCAGTCAGGGATTTTGTCTGACCGAGAGATTCGCACACTGGCCACAAGAATTCATGAACTACCATTAAGTTTGCAGGTACTTTCCTCAGTAATAACTATTCCAGTAACGTAATTTCTGAAATCCAAAACTGTTACAATAAAATGAATGAAATCTTTACTTATCCTTTCTTTAACATTTGTAACATCTGGCAATTTTTAAATTGTAGCTGGAGAATATAAAGTTACTTTCTATTTCTTTATGGACCGTTCTTCTGTGGACTCAACAAATGAGTTCTAGCAGCATCAGAAAAGTTGATGATTGGTATCCTGAGAACAAGGAAATGGGTAGTATGAATTTGAGAAAAAATGTTCACCGCTAAAATACAGCGTGAAGTGTGGGATTCTGTTGTGCTTACTCTTGGTCTTCACATAGTTTAAAAACAAAACAAAAAAAGACCAACCACATTCTTGACTGTAAAACTTGTACCCTAAAGAAAGATGTGAGGAAAAGGGCAGCAAAGAAATGGTGTTACTGGTAAATACTATGACCATATGAAGGGATTCACATTTCTGTTTCTCTGGGAATGGTAAGAAAAGAGACGTAGTCTTCTTGTGTCTCGTGCTCTTAGATTCAGTTGATAGAGAATGGTGTATTACTCCTGCTTTACTGAGAGGAATTGGGGCACATATCAATAATCTTGAAATGGCATACATAGCTGTAATGCATCTCTGCTTTAATGTGTTCCTGGCCTGTACCTTAATCAAAAAATCTTCCTTTTAGTTCTTTTTTTTTTGTTTGCTTGATCTGTGATTTAATATGCCATCCTTGTATAAAGGAGAATAGAGAATTTCCAATATTATCACTAAAGGTGTGTTATTGTCTCAATTCAACCAAGCATTTGCTTCGCTTAAACATATGGGATGCCCCGTTGACTTTAGTAGCTACTGAACTGGGGTCTGCTAATGTGTTTTTCTTTTTCCCCCCATAGTAGCTTGAAAACATTTTATGTATATAACATGAAATATGTGCATGCTTGATTTTAGGACTATCACAATGAGAAAGCAATATTATCTTTTTTTTTTCCTCTTCCATTTCTGATAGGACTTGACAGGTCTGGAACAAATGCTAATAAATTGTTCGAAATCTCTTCCTGCTAACATCACTCAGATCCATGTCATTCCACCAACTCAGGAAGCATATTATGATCCCAATCTGGTAAGGGATGTTGGTCCTAAAAGGTGTTTGATTTCTTTCCTGAGCAAGCAGTTACTGTGCTTGAGATGTTGATATGATTTCTAGAAGGAAATTATTCACAAAAATTTCTAATTATGTGTATATTAAATATTTAAATATGAAATTCTACAAGCTACTTTCTAACTTTTAAAGCTATTAAAATTTCCTTCAAAAACAAAAAAGCTGAGCTTTAGGATTTTATGGTATATGGGATTTAAAAAGTCATCCTTGTTAAGAAAATTCAGTATTGTGAGCCAAAACGACAGTATGTAAAATACTTTCCTGACTAGAACTTTCTGATAAATACATAGGACATCATTCAAATAGACTTAAAAATCACTTGAAAATCTTCAGAACCATCCTTCCTAATTCAAAGGCTTTTAAGTAACACCTTTTAACCTTTAAAGATTGAAGGCTTTGGACAAGAAATTCATTAAGCCTTCATTTATGTCCTTAATTTCTATTTTGGTTGTTAATTCTCATTGCAGTTTGTGGGAATTTAGGAGTCTGGCACTTATATCTACATTTCTTTTGCAGTGATAATTTAATTCCTGCCTCAGTCCATGCTTTTGAAAAACATGCGTGCATGAACTTTGCTAAATTCGTGACCTGGTGTTTTATACATTAAAACCAACATTGTATCAAATCTAAAATGTACAACTGTTGTACATCCTCAAACACATGCAAACCGCAAGCACAGGGTTCTAAAGTATTTGTGTAGATAAATATATATGGAGCATTGACTATTGATTGACCTTGTTTTTTATGACATTGAACACCTATCCTGTCTTGGTTTCTTGATCATATCATGTTACAAGGTTTTAAAAATGTTTTTTCTCTAAGTATAAAGTCCTGCAAAACTGTATAAAACCATACCAGTATGATTTTTCTCAACAGGTGATCAAGAAACAGTATTGTTTCTTTGTTCCAGGAGAATAAAGAATAAATAGTTCTTCGCATATATAATGTAACTTTCTAGAATGCATTCCCTTATAACAGACTTCATAAATACTTCAGTAACCTATAAACTAAGCCATATTTTCTTCCAGCCTCCGGTGACTAAAAACCTAGTGACTAATTGCAAACCTGTGACTGATAGAATTCGTAAGGCATACAAGGACAAAAACAAATATAGGTATGTTATGGCTCTGTAAAAATCAATACTCACTTTTGTAGAGTAGTAAGAAGAGGTATAAATACATGAAGTCCAAACATTGTGTACTAAAATGAAGTGAGCTAACATTAAGTAGAACTGAAGAAACATAATAACTGCTTATAATTATTTTGCTGAATGATGTGTTTGCTTTTCCATAGTTTATTTAGTAGACTAAAGATTTCCATTATACATGTTGGCCCAGATCCCAGGTTGCAGTACTTTAGTAAGAAGCTGGAGCATCTATAGATGGCTGCATAAATTGACAATACACAATCAGTGAGGTCAATTAGAGCAGAAGAGAAAGGCAGAAAGAGATTGTGCTTTGAAATTCTGTGTTGTAAATCTGCTTTATTTAATATATAAAATATATATAGTATTTAAAATATATATATATATATATATATAAATACATAAATATCTGTAACTGCCTTGCACTTTTCCTGGAAGAAGGAAAGTAAAACAAAACAAAAAGCCCTAATTTCCATCCCCTTTTGGAAAAAGCTGACCAAACAATGACTTAAGTTTGTTTGAATAATTGTACATGAGCAGACCTGCCTAAAATCCAGGTTGTGTATGATCTATGCTCTCTGAAACCTGAAAACCAGTTTGCTGGCATGGAGCTCATAGACCTCTCCTGTCCAGTGCCTTACCAGCAGTGTTAGATGGGAAGAGTGCTGGGGTTCTTCTGAAGCATGCATTTGCCCCAGGAGTGGTGACAAGGTCAAGTAAATCTGTAGAATTAAGAAGGTTATAAGTGCTGCTTAGGACAGCGTTTGAACATTGTTATATGCTCATTTATCCTTAAGCTGTGTTGTGTGCTCTGTAAGGTAATGGAAAGAAATCAAATGTCACATTCTAATGAAGATTGGACAATGAAGTTTTGAAATAAGTTGTAAAACTATTAATATTTATTGAACCTGACTTTAAGCTGTTTTAAATAATGCATAAATATCTTAACAATAAGGTTTGAAATCATGGGAGAAGAGGAAATTGCCTTCAAAATGATTCGCACAAATGTGTCTCATGTAGTTGGTCAGCTGGATGACATACGAAAAAATCCCAGGTATCCTGTTTCTTAATTTGTACACTATGGGTCACCTATTTAATTTCTGTTATCATATATCTAAGATATTTGAACATATAGAAATACTTCATCTATTTTTGAGGCTTTTGTTTTTGCCATTCTAGAGTTTACACAGTTAATATTGCAGAGAATTTTATGTTAAGGGAAAGAATATTTTGGTCTGTTATATGTAGCAATATTTAGAAAAAAAAAAAGTTTATTGTAAAGTCTGTTTTGTATACCCACTATGCTTTCATGCTCTGTTACAACATAGCAAGAGGTATTAAACATTTTTTTGATATATACTGAGAAGTGATCCAAAGCAGGAAGTTAGTCCTTTGTTTCTCTATAATATAGTGATAAAGCATTTAGATGCTCAAATCTGAGAGCTGATTTTCACAGTGCAGCTTCTGCATTCCTGGGGCAGTTAATTAACTGCCAGCCTGAGGGAGAGTCCCTGCCTGGGACTGTCTGGGGTAAAATCTCAGATGCAGTGTAGCCATCTGATTGCCATAACCAGACATTCTGCATAGGATCACCATAGCCAGCTATGCTTCAAAAGGGGAGGCATATTTTGCTTTTCTCAGATGTGGCAGTTCAGTTCCTTGCATGAAACTGTCTAGAGCAGGGTTACCAATTATGCTGTATTCATTACGGTTTGAGGAAAAGCAGTAATGTCCTCGGTAGGCAAATTAATGTGCTCTAGAGTTCTTACATCCAGCTTCACATAGCAGGCTGAACTTTGCTCTGCTCTTTGAAAGAGCACACTGTGCTACAGAGAATGCAGCTGACCAGAACCATTTCTTCACAAAGATTAGCAATTGCAAAGTCATCAGATATAATTTTACCCTCTGGGGAAAATGTAAGGTCTTGTGTCTCGCAATATAAATAAAGCACATAACCTTGTCCATGTGGGGGAAAGGGAATTTTTGTCATCAAGCACCAGATCAGAATTACCAAGCCTAGCAAACTAGCAGCTGCTTTAGCTTCAGCAGTTTTCAGTAATGTAAATGCTTGGGTGTTTCTTCTATGAGAAGTAACTCTCTGCAAGACACTTTATTGGGAGCACGTTTATTTGATCACAGTGATTTCCACATGAATACTATTGTTTGTATTTTGGCTGATTAAAAGAGTTAAGTTTGGGTTCTCTGATTCAGGTCATGTTACAGTCATTTTTATAGTTTTCTCAATAACTGAAAGCCTGAGGACCAAACTTTGCCTTTCCCTATGCAGTCTTCTAATTTTTTTTTTTTGAGCTTCTCTGAAGAATGTAGCATATATAGTAAAAATAACTTAGTATATTTACATCCTATAGTGGATGTAAAATTTATTATTTAAGATAACTAACTCATGGTAACTCTATATTAAAACTATAAAACAATTATCAAGATCATAATCCTTCTAATCTGCTGTCTGCATCTAGTGTTAGGCTTTGAGATGATGCACACTAGTGCCCATTAGATGGCAACATTAATATAAATAGAAGAGAGAGAGCTTTAGCTCATCAATGGATTCCTCAGAGTTTCTGACTCACTGTTAGCCTCTATGTACTCTTAATTGCAATCAAGTTAATTTAAAATAATGCAGCAATAAGAAAGATAGTTATCAGTATCAAATATATCAATTTGGTTTTAAAGGTTTATGTTCTTGTCTTGCCAATACCTTTGTGGTATTATCAAAGGAAATAGTCTAACAAAGCATTTTTCTTTTCTAGAAAATTTGTTTGCTTAAATGACAATATTGATCACAATCATAAGGATGCCCAGACAGTGAAAGCGGTGCTTAGGGATTTTTATGAATCAATGTTTCCTATTCCTTCCCAATTTGAACTGCCAAGAGAATATCGGAATCGTTTCCTTCATATGCATGAACTCCAGGAATGGTATGTTAGACAGATTCTCTTCAGGTTATTGCAGCATATGATTATAGAACATATTGGTACAAGCCCATTTTTTTCCCAGTGTTGTTGTGAAAGAGTTAACAGAGAAAATGACAAGAAAATATTTAAATGGATTAAAACTTGAGATTTGCAGGATTTGGATTTTCTTGTTGTTCTGAATGGTTAATGTTTCACTGATTGTCCGCAAGTCATTGCAAACAAAGTTTTTTTTAAGTTAAAAAATCAAGAATTGTGGATTTTTTAAATGTAAAAAAAAAAAACAAAACCAGAACTGTTTAGAATGTGTATGGCACAAACATAATATAAATTCTGCTATCATTGCTAAGTAACTTTTTAAAGATGTTAGAAATAATTTAAAGATGTTTTTAATGACCATCAGAGAAGATGCTCATTCATCTTTCATATTTTTATTTAATGTGTGAAATTTTAATGTGCTTTCCCCTTGCCATGTTATAAACGATATCTAATTTAGAAATTGAGAAAGTTGATTTGGGAATATAAACAAAAGTTTGGCAGGTATAGTGATTAAAAGTGAAACGAGAGTAGTAAAATTTTGTTGCTGATCAGCAAGTTATGAGAAGCATCTCCTTGTGAGGAAGGAGAAAATATTAGAGTATGAGAAGTACTGTACGTGACAAGAATTTGGTGTAGACAGAGGGTGTAGAGGGCAAACTGAATTCAGCAGTTACAGACTTGGGCTGGAGCATTAGGAATATTCTTAGCTCTGTTTTTGAGGACCACCATAAGGACTGTTCGCTCCAGAAGAAGGCTTATTACTTTCTTGTGGTTAAAACAAATTTCTGTTGGGATGGTGTAAAGCACATTGAAATGCTGGCAGAAATCCTATTTTCAGCTTCAAATGAGTTTTCTACCGTTATCTTGTATGGTAATTTTTGGTTTAGGTACCAATGTAACTAAAGAAGACTAACAGTAGTTTCAATATTAAGTTGAAAGCAAAGAAATTAAAGAAATATGTAGAACTTGAGCTATATGCTGTAAATAACCATTTTGCTTCTTATAACACAAGTTAATGGGTAAATTACAAAAACATTTTATTTTCTTTTCCTTTTTCATGGAAACCCTTTGAAGTTTATATCTGATTTATAATACATGAAACTCTGTTTCCATCTTTCTGCAGGAGGGCATATAGAGACAAGCTGAAATTCTGGACCCACTGTGTTCTAGTAACACTTATTGTATTTACAGTCATCTCATTTTTTGCCGAACAGGTAAAAATTTTATCTTATCAAAACTATAATGTTTAATACATTTCTGTACCTTCAGGGTACTGTAAGGTGGATTTTTTTTAATAGAATAGCTAGAATTTTTATTAGTAAAATGATATGCAAATAGTGATTAGGTTGCATCAACTTTTAAGCTGTAATGTTGAGATTCTTAGAGTAAGTATGACTACACCTGGGGGGAAGGAGAATTGTGTTTTCTTTTCAGGTGTCTTGTGACGTCAAGTACATCAATGTGCTAAATTTGGGAATTCAGAATCAGTAATTGTTTCTGAAAGTCTTGGTCTATTAAAACATATTGTTTATAGTGCAAAGTTACTAAGAAGAAAACTTTGAGTAATAGCAATACCCTAGTCCTGGGAAGATCTTAAGGCATTTTAGGAGACTAATCCAATCTCATCTTTTGAATCAGACACAAAGGAAAAAAAAAAAAAAACACCTCCCATTCTGCAAGCACAAAATGGTTTTCTTGAACATATTAACCCTGCAATACAAAGAGGGAGACAAATGGAACAAATCATATGGGTAATTCTTTGCAGGTTGGGGCCTTAAGTAACCCTTTCCGTGGTCTGATGAAGAGGGTGTAATTCTTGAAAGGTTGGCTTTTGAATTTTTATTTTCCTCCACCTGTAACTTTTGCATGAACCTTTCCCTTAATTTTCAGCCTTCTGTATACATTGAAAACTCACCCTGCGTTAGTAACTTTATTTTGGAAGGGAGTATTCAACTCAGTAGGCCAGCTAGGTATGTAAATACTGCCAGCTTTGTGTTCATCTTCTAGAAACTGAATGTAACCTGTTTACATTTATGTGAATTAACTTAAAATAATCAGAATATAAGTATACTGTGTTTTTCACTTTCTGCTTATATTCTGATTATTGAGAAATATGTACACGTAATAGATGCATTTGAGTAAATAACTCTTTCTTCCTGTGCAGTGGGGAAAAAAAAGACAGTATTGACTGAATTACCATGGATGACAAAGATTCTATGGTTTTCTAGGATGAGAGACTAACCAGCTGTGTATCTCTGTCCTAGAAGGGAACTAAATAGTGTATTTTCTCCTTCTCAGCTAATCGCACTTAAACGAAAGATTTTTCCAAGAAGAAGGATCCAAAAGGAAGATGGTCATGAACGAATCAAAGTGTAGAAGAGCTTTATTTTGGAGATCAGACTACCTCAAGATGTGATAAGCATTTAAAATCTCTCATAAGTGTCTTTTATGGTTTGATATTTAACTGAGTTGATATGAAGAAAAAAAATCATGCATCTACATTTATAATCTCTGCAGTACTCTGATATACAAGCTGCTGGAACTGTGACAGAAAGCTAAACAAAAATGGCAGGAGCCTGTATATAGGCAGATTTCAACTGATCTTACTTTACAAATGTTGGTACATGGCCATGCTATCCTTTTTTATAAAAAGGGTTACCTAAAGAAATGTAGCTGCATTTATTGCAGTGGATGTTGCCAACTACATATAATGTTGGAAGGCAGAGTTGTTTGGGATGAGCTTAACAGATCCTTGATCTTGTGTTCCGAAAGATTTCTGCAGAATTCTGTCACTGCTTTCTTTTTTTTTTTTCCTTTAGCCCTATGGGAATTATGTAATTTGTCATTTACCCTTAGTCTACATTTAATGACGTTGGCATTCCTTAAAGCACAGTGACAATTCACTCCCCCCAATTTGTAGTACTGAATTGGAATTTCGAAGAAATGCATGCTAATAAGAATACACGGTAACAGAACAGGTAATGGTTATTTTAGAGTTACTTTACATTTTATCTGGTGTATTATATTCCAAAGAATACAGTGGGTGTTGTCTTGATTACAAAGAGAGGGTTGTAATCAAGTGAAAGTGATTAAGTTATATTGTTTTAAAAGCACTGTAAATATAACAACAGAAGTGCCTCTCTATCTGAATGGGTAATGAACTGCTTTAATGTAGCAATGTGTGGGAGCAGTGTTTCACTTCATAAAACAATATTTATACTGACAAATGAAGCTTTGTGATTTTTTTTTTCTAAATTTCACAGGACTTGGCCCTGTGTTTGAGACATCAGACTGGTATGATTTTATGTGGGGGGAAAAAAGATACTTTTCAGGCAGAACTTTCTGGTGGTGTATCTTCATTGTACAAGCAGTATTCAAAGAATGCATTATTTTTTTTTTTGTAATTGGGTGTACAAAATGTATGTGCATATGTATTGTAAAATACTTGGTTTGCTTTGAAATCAACTAAAATGTGATGAAAGGTTTGTCTGTTTCTGTTTTGGAGTACAACAAAACTCGCTCATTTTGATAAAATAGCCATTAATGCTTATAAATCCTTGTGGTAAAGTACTTGTTTTCTTAAACTTTCCAACACTAATAATTTTAATATTAACTTGATGCATGAATGAGTACTCAAAGTACAATCAAACTTCCCGACCCTGTAAAATGCGCTTTTAATTTAGGGTTACATTTTGTGCTACCGCTACTCATTACGCTGAAACACGCGGAAAGAGCTGGAAGCCACTGCTAACAGCCAACGGCGGGCAATGGCAGTTGAGGTACAAACACAAGCGCACCCCCACCCGCTGCGGGCCTGCGCATGCGCTCTTGCGCTGCCTGCCTCCTTTCCCGCCTTTTTCAGGCTATCGGGGTAAGGGGAGGACCGCGCTGAGCAGCAGGCAGGCAGGGCGAGGGAGGGCTGTGGGGTGAGGCGGGGCAGGTTCCTTACCGCCTGATGTGAGCTGAGAGTCGGCGGTAGGCACTGAGAGCGTGGAGGGGGCTGTCGGCAGGCAGAGGGACGAGGCTGAAGGGTGGCTGGGTGGGGCTGGGCACCCCCTCAGCTGTGGGGCTGTGAATGGGAAGCAGTCCCACACGAGTGGGACTCATAGATACCGCTTTATTTCAGATCTTTGCAGGCAGAGAGAAATAAGGAGGTGAGTGCCTCTGAAAAGTCGTTGTTAAATACACATCTGTGGCTTGGAAGATTGGAATCTGCTAAAGCAAGGAGCTTTATCGTGATTATATGGGGCTGCAACGTTGTTTGATTGCATCTAATGCTCTGTAAGCTTGTTTTTCAATACAAAGAAAGATGCCTGTGTGCTGTGTGAGATGTATGTAAGCTGCTGCCCTGCTTACGTCGTGTTTTCAGCAGCTGCTGAAGTCACTGAGGCTTGGAAGTTATGCAGTGCCCCTGAGTTCTCTCTCATTTGAGGATAATTACAACACAAGAATTTGTGATCTTCCAATTAGCAGCAAAAGGAGAAAATTTAATTTCAAGAAAATTTTAAGTTCTGAACATCTTGGGTTGATGCTGTATAGTGAAGCAACAACCACTGAAGAAGCTGTGACGTCAGAAAATGTTTTTCACTTAACAGCTTAATGTGATTGTTTTCTATATCCATGGGATATGTGGCTTAAAAAATTAATAAAGTTTTCATAGCTATGAGCAGCTAGTTCAAAAAATAAATAAATATGGGATTCTGGTGTGTGCTACAACTGTTACTGCTGGAGGATCTCCGTGCCCTGGAAATTCTGAAGATCTTTACTGGAATTCTCAGTTTTGTGTAAACTTAATGTTCAGAACTATATTTCCATGGCCTTTGAAAAACCTGTTGTTATGTCTGGCTGTGTTGAGCTGCACTGAGAATGAGAAGTTTCTCCATTGCTAAAGATTGGAAGACAGGGTACTTTCTGGTTTTGTTTTTTTTGTTTGTTTGGTTTTGTTTGTTTGTTTTGTTTTCTCTATTGTTTCCATCTTCTATGTAATCCTGTGCTGTTTTTGGTAGAATATTTTAAATTATATGTATTATATTTCAGTGAGGTCGTTGTATCCTGCTATTTTCTGCTACATTTATATATGATTTCAGTAATTGAAGTCCTAAGGAAAATATTTTATTTGTCCTTCTTGCATTTAATGGCAACAAATATACTTTTCTTTCCTTCTAAATAGACATTTTACTTCCTAAAATAATACATGGAATATATAAAAATGAGTTACTAAAGGAAGTGTATGTGTAAAATCCAAATATGGAAGATGCATCAGAAACTTATAAAGAGGCATAATGGCTAAAAACAAATAATTCAGACAGCGAACATTGACCAACGTTGTTAAGAATTTATTTTTCTGCCCAGTAAGGAATGGGCTGTGGAGTCATAAATTGTTCTTGAGCATTTATTATCTCTGTATTTTTGTAGGATAGAGTATCAGTGCAGCTCATTAGGAAGGTGGTATCAAATCTGAAAAAATTATGGAATTAAGGGACCTTATGAGCAGTCTGTTCAGAGCATAATTCCTTGCTTTTCAGCATAAGAAGTATGATCCTGCTATCCTTGCTATTTTTGCTTATTTTTTACCCTGCTCTTAAAAACAGTGTCAAGGTTAATCCTGTGGATTACCTCAAAAATATGAGTGTGACTACTTGAATATCCTTACAGTTTACAGGGGAGTGTGTAACAGGTCAAGGTAACCATGAAAACACATTTGTCTTCAAAATACTGTGGGAAAAGTTATGTTTCGATACTGTGCCTCAATAGGAAGAAAATTTCATTATGGCACCATCAGGAAGAAAGCATTCAGGAAAAGCTGCTAAAGCAGCACAGGAAGAGCAAGCCAGATCTGCCTATGACTTTCAAGAGGAAAGAAAAGACCTGAGCGGATCAGAGGAAGATATTAGAGAAGGTGCTTATCTGCTGATTATTATGATTATTTTTTTTTTCTTAAACAAGGTTTGTAATGTTTCCAACCCTGAACAGATAGGAGGATATTATGGGTCAGTGAATGGCTGAACAAGCATGCTTCCTAATGCTTGTGAGAGCTTCCTGGTGTGTGGTTTGGATAGAACAGCTGAGCGTAGTTCTATCCCTGACATAGATAGGATAATAAGTTAAGCAATTAACTTAAACAATAAGTTTAAGACATAGCCCTGCTGTGTCTTAAACTTATTGTTAATGTCTTTAATAAATCTGGATACTATTTCTAGGCTGCATATAATGCTGTAGGGTCAAGACAGAACAGGAAAGCTCTGCTTGTACAGAGAGCAGAATTGGATATAGGGCAGAGCTGGGGTCTCACGTTGGCAGGGCTAAGAGTACTTTGGGAAGAATCTCAACAGAAAAAAAGCAAGAGGTACAGGCAGCTGAGAAAAAATGAATGGAAGTCAGCCAAGGGATTCTCATTTAAATTTTGAGGGATTGTAGCAAAGAGTGGATTTAAAATACAATTCTCATTTTCAAATTATATTTTTTTTGGCAAAGTTTGATGGAGCTTCTGGATTTTGTCTTTCAGCAGTCATCTCTGGGTTTTGTCTCTCTTCCTTTCCACCACCTTCCTCACCCCAACCCTCCCCATCTGTCTAAACTAAAACCTTTTCTTCATTTCTATAAGTGACTTCTATCCAAGTAGTCTATAATGAAATGTAAGCGCAAATAATGAAACTAGTGTCTTGAGTATTCCCTTTGAAGTTTGCTGTGCTGCTTTCTGTGAAATATATGACAAGGCTGGTCAGTATGTCCTAAGCTTCAAATAGCAGTGGACACTGGTATCTATTAGCTAGCGTGTGGATCAGAATGTACGTTTCTACAGTCTCCTGAATGAGTGGGTTTGCAAAATTGAGAAGTGGGTATGGAATTGGGAAGAATCTTTTTCTGGTTTTGTTTATTCTGCCAACCTAATCTCTCTAAGAATAGCTGAACAGTCTTACAACTTGTATAGATGTCTTGTTTCCAGGATAGCTTGTATGGCTGCGTGCACTAATGCTCACTGTTTCAAAACAATCCATATTTCTAGGTATTTTTTCACAGTTCTGGGTACACTCTGTTTTTGTCTTGAATTAGGTATATAATCTTTCTTGATCTTTTCCCCCACCTTTGGTAACAGAAATCTGACAGCCAAGGATTTATTAATCTATATTGAGAGAATATAAATGTATCTCTGTGGTTTTGCTTCCTTTAAAGACAGAGTACATAGTTTCAGTACTTAAGGTAAAATGAAATTCTTGTAAGTTTTTTTCCCTGATTTTTAAGATTAATTTTAGCTTTCTGATAATTGCTACATTGTGAAGCTGAAAGTAATTGTGTAGCAGTAGACTAAGGAACTCCAATTAGTAGAGACCAGCACTGAGGAACTCAGGGCTGTGCTGCTCAAATCCAGACATATGGGATCCATTGCCATCTGTCAGTTCTTTGCGGTCAAATGTTAGAAGCTGGACGTGTAATGGATGGGATGGACATTCAAAGAAGTGATCTTACTGAAAAGTGATTACAGTTCCTGGAATTCAAATGGCCCCACAAAATATAAAGTATTTTTGTAAATCTTTTTGAAATTTACATTAAGGTGAAACACCAGTAATGGACAAGCATGGCAAGAAAAGACCTATGGTGACTACTCATGTGGTTCCAGATGATGTGGGGTAAGATTTAGAATATATTTCTTAAAAAAAAAAAAAAAAAAAAAGTGTAAGTCCTTAAATTTTAATGGTGAGTTTTTTTAAAAAAAAATTCATTATTTTCCCCCTCTGATCTCAGTTGCTTGAAGATATTAACAGTATTTAAAATGATCTAAAAAATGCATTAAAAATATTTTTTGATAAATGGAATGAAAGTCAAAATGTATTGGCCAAATAACTACAATGCAAAAGTATGTGTTGCAAAAGCTTTTCTTGATTAAGGCTGTTGAGTTGAATTTTTTTTTCTCCTCCCCAAAAAAGAGTGGTATCCTGTGGAAAAAATGAGACATACACATAAAAACACAGTAACTGTTTTCTGTCAGCTGTCGTACCGCTGTTTTACGCACTGCTGATAGCATCTTAAGTGCTATAAAAACAACCCTGAAATCATTTATCTTGGATGGTTATGTGGTGGTGTTTTTTTATTTTTTTAAATTTCAGTTATGTTAACTTTAATGAATTTTTTCTTGTTTGATGCTCTGCATACCTTTTTCTTCGGGTATGGGGGAATGATTAACGTTATTTACCACCCTCTCTCACTCAGGACCCTTTAAATGCCTAATCATAGAATCAAAGAATCATAGAACGGTCTGGGTTGAAAAGGGCCGCAATGATCATTTAGTTTCAACCCTCCTGCTATGTGCAGGGTTGCTAACCACCAGACCAGGCTGCCCAGAGCCACAGCCAGCCTGGCCTTGAATGCCTCCAATGCCTCTTTATTGAGAAGCTGATAGATCATAGTAACTTTTTCATCAAGAAACTAGTTCTGAAAGATTTTTTGCAGGAGGGGAAGGAGGAGTAAGTCTTATTTATATCTTGTGGAGCAGTAACAACTCTATCACTGCTTACAAGTAACAGGCTTGCAATAAAATTAGTTTCAGGCATTTATATCAGGTCTTAATCAAAGGTCAAGAAATACTCAAAAATCATAAACTATTTTGTAGGGGTGAAGTACAGAATATGCTGGAAAGATTTGGAGGTAAGTACACTCATTCTAACAAATTGAGAAGTAATTAATGCTTAAGTTACAGAATTGGCAATAATTTGTTACTGTAAGATAACTTTTGAGATTTGACTAATAGGCTGGTGTTTGTAGCACTGGCTACAGCCAGTTTGCAGATGAGAACTAATATGTGATATGTCTGGAGCAGATGGGTGGAAGAGAAAGGCATAACTGCATATAAGGAGAGAGAAAAGTATTGGTGTAGACTCCATTATAAAGGAAGAAGGCAAAGATGCATGAGTACTTCTGATGATCAATTCCCACTTTAAGGAATGGTTGAGAGGCAGTGATTATATCACAGAGAGAACGTACAATGTGAATTAAAAATCCATTGCCAATTCAATTTTTTTTGTTGCAAGAGTAGTGATTGCAAGACTGGAGTGAGGAAATTAAGGGCATCTAAACATAAAGCAGCTAAATAGAAAAAGTAATTCAAATTCAAGATAAGGAACGACTGTAAATTGTAGCTGTGATAAAATGGAGCTAGAGAGGTAGCAGTCTGCATTCTACATCTACAGAAGTATGAAGACCTGGGAATCTGTAGAAATGAGAATTTCAGCAGTCAGGAAGGAGAGTAAGAAGTTTCTAGCACAGCCAAAGAATGAGTGTATTTAATACTGGTCGTGTAGTGTGGAAGGATTTGTGTTGCCTATGTGGATTTAATTAAATCATAATGAAGTGAAATCCTAGATGGCTTTACTTAACATTCAGAGTGATGAGCTGAATTCCAGACAACTGACAGCTTAGAGAAAAAGCACATTGCACTTGCAATGAATTCATACACATCACAAATAATCTAAAAAAGCATCAGAAAGGGAAAACGTAATGCTGGCATTACTCAGTATCTGGTTGATAGTTCCATGTATGATATAAAAAGTAATGTACACAGTTATTGTTTGCATGCAAATCTCAAGGTGAAAGAGTTTGGAGAATTCTTTAATTCAAGATTTTTTTTTTTTTTTGCAGTTAAGATATGTATTAATATGCTATTTTGGATCTAGCAGTATAGACGAGAGGAATTTCAGTGTTGAATATTAAAAAGCTGGGATTGCTTTTTAGTCAGAACTCAAAAAATGGAAGGAAAATAAATGGATCAAAGAGAGGATGCACTCTGATTAAAAGTAATAGGGTTGGCAGTAGCAGGGGCAGTTGCCTCATCAAATTAGAGAGATGTTTTCTGAAGGCTACAGTAGGAAGGAAAAGCAATTCTTTAAATATTAACCTTAAGCTACCTGTGACTTGTTCCTTAGATCTCCAAATGTAAATTAAAATGAAACGAACGTATTAACTTACGTTAACCTGAATACTTCTTAAAAAGTACTTAAGTCTGTAAGTAGTAGTTTGTCATTCATTCATTCAATATGTTGACAGTGGCAGTAATCCCACACAACCTCTTATTTCTGAAATCTAGGTGATTTGCTTGGATATTAGTGTTAAAACATTTGAGCTAGTGTTCTTTCTTGAGAAAAACAAATTTAAAAAGCATTGGCCTAGCTGAATTAGTGGGAGGCCTAGAAGTGTTAAGCTAATTGTGTAGTGAAATAAATGAGGAGAAGGGGTGATGTCCAGTTGCTTGCTGCTCCAGATGCCTGGTGTAACGTACAGTCTATGGGGGGAATTGAGAAGCAGATCTCATACCTGTGCCAGCAGCAGGTGGAGAAGATTCCTAATGCAGCAGACATGAGCCCAGATGACGTGAGCTTCTTTCTGCTAGAACACACCTAGTTTGCTTTTCCAAAGCATAAAGTCATCAGTATCTTTAATAAAATACTCTGTGTGTCCAGGTATGCTTAATTTCTAGGTATGCTTAAGGTATGCTTAACTTCTAACTGTTCTTTGATTCTAGCTGACATTAACAAAGCTCTCTTAGCCAAGAGGAAAAGATTAGAAATGTATACAAAAGCCTCACTCAAAACCAGTAACCAGAAGATTGAACATGTTTGGAAAACACAGCAGGAGCAGAGGTAATATTTACCCTTGGTTTTGAGACCTGTGATGTCTGATACTATAAGCAGAACAAATTGGAAAAAATGAGATGCAAAAACTGCAAGACATGGCAGCTGTCTTTTTGGTTTTATATGTATATGAAACTTGTGTTAACCAAATGTTGTTTACATAGAGAGACTACAGCATCATGAACTAAAGAATGAGCTGATGATTTTTTTTTTTGTTATAAACTTGTTAATGCCAAGATCTGTAATTTGGATAAAACAGTAAATCTGTAAAATGCTGACAATTCTGCTGAGAAAATCTTGTTGTTTGGTTTATTTGTTTTAATCGGTGTTTCATCTGTCAGTGCTGCCTCGCCATATGTATATAAGTACTTATGTGTGAGTGTTCCTTTTCTACTTTTCTAAAACATGATGTTCAGTTAGGGACAGATTCAAAATAACCTTTTTTTTTTTTTAATTCATGCTATCTCCTATTCTGTGCACCTTTATCTTTCCTTGTCATTCTTCTGAGTGTTTCTAGGACTTACAGCCAACATCTGTTTATAGGCAGAAGCTCAATCATGAGTTCTCCCAGCAGTTCCTGACTGTATTTCAGCAGTGGGATGCAGATGTGCAGAAAGCAGAGGAACAGGAAGAAAAACTAGCGGTGCGTTTCCAACATGAGATGTGTTTCACAGTGTATTATTCACAGGGAGACCCTCAGTGTCATAGTTTCAAGTGCAACAGGACAGGGGGACCCTTTTTGGGGAGAAGGAAAGAAAAATGACCCAATTAAGATAAGGAGAGATAACAAACTTACTACAAATGGTAAAAGAATGTGAGATAATGATAAGAAGAGTTACAACTAATCTCTCAAATGGGAGAGAAAGGAAGGCTATAACTGTGCTGCTGCTTGTTGCACTGCTAGATCTGGGAAGTCGCGTCACCTCCGTCACCCTGAATTGTAGATCATGTAGAGGCCCTTGGGAAGTGTAGTATATCTTCCTCTTGAGAATCAGAACTCATGTGAGACTGCTAGAGAGCATGAGACTAGGAAACACAACTGTACAGTGCGCTGTGCCTCTACACCCAACAGCCTGACATGTGAGGCTTCACAAGGCTTGTGAAGGACTTGGAGAATATGCCCTATGAGGAGGGACTGAAGGAACTGGGGCTGTTTAGTCTGCAGAAAAGGAGGCTGAGGGGAGACATTATTGCTCTCTTCCAATACCTGGAAGGTGCTTACAACAAGAGCAGGGTTGGTCTTTTCTCACTGGTGACAGGATGAGGGGAAGTGGCCTGAAGTTGTGCCAGCGTTAGTTTAGGTTGGATATCAGGAAACACTTCTTTACAGGAAGGGTTGTTAAACACTGGAATAGGCTCCACAGGGAAGTGGTTGAGTCACCATCTCTGGATGCATTTAAAAACCGTTTGGATGTGGTGCTCAGGGGCATGATTTAGTGTTAGGGTAGTATGGTTAGGTCATGGTTGGACTTGATGATCTTTAAGATCTTTTCTAACTTGAGCGATTCTATGATGTCATGATATGGAATACTGATATAACCAGAACACCCAAACATGTAGAGATGTGACCAACTCTTCAGAATTTCATTCAGCTTTGGTGGCTCTCAGTAAATGTTTAATTTTGAGAATATATTTCAAAGTGAAGAAAAGTGAAGTACTTTATTGCAAGTTTATGAATGGGAATAAATGAAGCCTTAGGCCAACGTATGGCTTGAGAAAAGCTGAGGTGATTTCAGAGAAGAATCTGATGTGCTAATTCTGAGCATGCACAGACTTGCATGGGAAGAACAAAGGAGTACAGGAAAGCGTATCTAAGCATGCATTGTTTAAAAATATGTCTTCATGCAATAAATCTATGAGAATTTCATGATTAAAAGAGACAGTGGAATGCAATCACATGCTATTGGTGAATTTGTACTCCCACTATGTTTGCAAGTTCAGCACATCTCCCTGGAATACTCTCGAATACTGTGTTGGCCAGCTGTTCTCACAGGATGCCACAGACTTCCCTTTGGAAAAGGCCTGCAGGTGATGGTTCAGGCCTTAATCCAATCTTTAGTCCTTTTATTAATAAAAAAAAAAAGGATAACTCTCCAGGCAGATATCTCAATTCTATGACCTAGATTGTCAGTGAAGGTAGAATCTTTCCATTCTGATAAATGATAACCAGTGCTGCTGCCAGGGTACTTTTGGTCAACTAACAGCATTATTCTTTTTCTTTTTGCTTCTGCTTCAGAATATGTTTCGTCAGCAACAAAAAGTTTTTCAACAGGCAAGAATAGTTCAAAGTCAGAGACTGAAAACTATTAAGCAACTATATGAGCAATTTTTAAAGGTACAGTAAGTTTTCTTTTTAGAAGACAGCTGATCCTTATCACATCACTTAGGAAAGCTGTAGTAATCTAGCCTTTGTGTAATACAGAAATTTAAGGTTTGCTTAAGGAGGACAACAGCTTAGCATGAATCTTCATGCTAGTTAGTTCTCTTTCCTTATTTGTTTAAAAATATGAGTTGTTCTTTCTAAATACACATACACACTGTGCCTGTATATAAATGCTTTAGTTAAGTGTGTTCTTGCAGGTGTCTGGGCTTTCCTGTTTCAAATAGTTAACTGTAACCCTCAGAGCACGGTCTCTAAACCAAAACTTTATATAGATCAGTCAAATCATCAGGATTCTGTCTCAGCTATCCCTCAGGTTTTCTGTATGCGTTAAGAAAAAAAAAAAAAGTGAAAGTCAGTCATAAAATTAACATTTTATGCTGTAATTTACTACTTCTAATACTGCTGGCATATACATTCCCCATGAGAATTTGATGTCAAGTTGTTTTTTTTTTTTTTTTTTTGGTCATGAACCTTTTGAGCTACTGTTGCTTCTTGCAAGGAAAATGCCTGCAAATGAGTTGCAATTCTTTAAAATTATGTAATTGTTGCTCTTTTTTTCTTACTTGCTTCCTCTTCCTCTTTGCTCCCTAACCAACACTGATTCAAAAGGGTTTTCTTTCCTATAAGCTGGTACAAAAGGTAAATATTTACTCAGAAGCTAACTTGAAGAATCTGACAAATAATGGCTTTTGGTGAAAATAGGTCCTGCAGGATGGTTCCTGCTCAGTCCTGTTTCATCACAGAATCAGAGAATGGTCGGGGTTGGAAGGGACCTCAAGGATCATGAATCTCCAACCCCCCTGCCACATGCAGGGCCACCAACCTCCCCATTTAATACTAGACCAGGCTGTCCAGGGCCCCATCCAATCTGTCCTTGAACACCTCCAGGGATGGGGCATCCACAACCTCACTGGGCAGCCTGTTCCAGCACCTTACCATTATCATAGTAAAGAACTTCCCCCTGACATCCAACCTAAATCTTCCCTCCCTCAACTCCCATTTCCCCTTGTCCTGCTATTATCTACCCTTTCAAAGAGTTGATTCCCCTCCTGTTTATAGGCTCCCTTTAGATACTGAAGGGCTGCAATGAGGTCACCCCACAACCTTCTTTTCTCCCGGCTGAACAAGCCCAGCTCCCTCAGCCTGTCTTTGTAGGGCAGGGAGCTGGGCTTGTTCAGCCCAGTTTAACTTTCCAGTTGATTTATGAATAGCTTTTGTATTTGCTAGCAGTCCCTACCAATATAGGTTTTGGACACTGCTTACATGTGCTTTATTTTAAACACGTAAATAATTATCAGCCTTTTTTTTTTTTGAAAAGTGGCTGACATGCTAGACAGCAAACAAAAAACGATTGAGTACTATTACTCCAAATTTGGCTTTTAATAAAACAGACAATTGCTGAAAGTCATCTGGTCTAACAGCTGATAACAGCTGATCTAACAAGACTACTTAAGAGTCTTTCGATTATCTCCAAAGACGGTGACTCCAGAGCCCCTCTGGACAACCTGTTTTATTACTCAGTCACCCCATCAGTGAAGAAGCCTCTCCTGATGTTGAGAGGAAACCTCTTGTGTGGCAGCCTGTGGCCTATTGTCCTGTCTCCAGATGCCACTGAAAAAAGCCTGGCTCTGTCTTCTTCATCCTTCTCAGTTACACACAGAGTCTGATGAGCTCCCCTAGAGCTCCTCTTCTGCAGGCTGAACAGTCCCAGTTGTCTCCCTTTCCTAACTGTCCTGTTTTGAAATGTCCTTGTCAAGTCAGGCAGCTTTGACAAATAAATCTGAAACAGAGCAAGACTTTGATAGGTGAAGTTTACATTATAGGACATTACAGATATGTTAATAAATAATAACCATTTTAATAGGTCAAAACATCTTCAGCAAAGATTAAAAAGAAAAAAAAAACTGCAGTTTTTCTCCTCAGAGAAGATCAAATGGTAAAAGTCAAGCCTCAAATATGCTTAACTTTAAGTACAAGTCAAGGAAAATGCAGCAATGCGCATTCAGTTAGGCAAACTGTATGAGCAAACGGGAAGATAACCAGTGAGCCTTACCTTAGTTTATTTAGAGTAAATGTAACATTTTCTGTAGTCGTTGCTTCAGGTCTCCGAGGTTGTCATGATATTAAACTGTACCACCCCATATTTCCTGACAGATATGTCTAGACTTGTAGAATTCTTATCTTTATTGAAATGCAGGATAGTAGCTTACACCTGGCAGATGCTGAGTGGAAAGGACTGTTTTTGTCACAGGATGTCTTCTTTAAGCAGCAGTGTAGATTGGAGTCCTATACAATTTTCTAAGTTCATGACAAAAGTCATCTGTAATTGTCAGTGACCACTACTGCTATAAAAATCGAACTGTAATCGGAATAATGGGTTGTCTGTTTTTAAATTGAACTTTTGATACCGAGCAGTTCTGAATTAAGATTATCCTTAACTTCAGAGCATGGAAGAGCTAGAGAAAAACAATGAAACTCTTCTAGCTGGTGCACAAAATGAACTTCGCAAAGAAATGGCTATGCTACAGAAGAAGATTATGATGGACACTGTAAGTATCAGTAGTTATAAAGAACCTTGTTAAATACAAAAATAGAACATTCTATAAGGAAGTCATTAGACATTCATTTAATTAGATTAAGGAATCATATTGGTATGGCATCTGTTCAGAATAATCTCCTTTTCTTGTAACAGCAACAGCAGGAGATGGCAACTGTTCGCAAGTCTCTTCAGTCCATGTTATTCTGATGGTTCAATGGAGAAACAACTTGTACCTAAGTAATACGATACAAGTATAGGCGTTAGCCATAAAGAAGTTATCTTAAGATTTAAGTGTTTTAAAGTTCCTATTAAATACTTTTATGGATTGTTCTAATCTTGTGTCTGATAATGTTGTAAGAAGGTATATTAGTAAATTTGTTACTAAGGGAAACAAACCCTTAACCAATTATGGTCTGCCCAATTAATATTCACTTTCATTAGCAGTGGACTGTTCGATTGTTTCACTTTTTATAATGCTTAATTGAAACAATAGGTAGAATTAATGGAAAAAAAAATAAGAAGATTTGTATAGTAACTTAACAAATCTGGGTACACTGCAAATAGAAGCCTTTTACAAAAGCCACAGCTTCAAGACTTTCACAGTTTCAACACATAGCCTCCAGACCTGTCAGCAGTTAAAGTTCATAGATTATGAAAAGTGGTTTAATGATGTATGTTATGGTAAATGAAACATGAGGCTTTCTGTCAGGCCATTGTGATTTCTTTTTACCAATAAGAGATGTATCAACTGCTGTAACTTGTCCAAAAAGCAGATTTCTTTAATTGAACAATGAGCTTAGTACCACAGCTTTACAGGACATCTGCTCAAGTAAGCATAACTGAATATTACTGCATGCATTTTGGGTTATATATTTTTGCACACCTCTGCTGAGGTAATCTAGCTCACTTACTTGAAATGGAATATTAATTTTTCAGTTTCAAATGATTAGCATTTCAGGGAGGTCCGACTTAAGAATAAAGCACTTTTCATTTATGCATCTCATTACAGCCAATGATTATAAATTAAAACAGCCAGCCTAGCTTGCATGTAGTCTGTTTTTACAGAAAGTCATTATGCTTGAACATCCACTTCTACAAATTAGGTAGTTCCTAAAATACGTGTTAAGTTTCATATAAGAGTAGATAACACAAAAACCACTCACACAAGCAGATCTGATTACTTCAAAACAATATATTTCAAAACCAGACCATACAACTTCTTACCTGTACCTTACTAGGATATTTAGTTTAGAACCAACATATCTGATGACTGCTCATCAGTGCCAGGAGCCAGATTAGTGATAGCTAATTTACAGAAAATTCAGTTTGTAGACTGCAACTGAAATTGAGCAAGTAGCCTGTATGGAGCTGTCTTGTTTTGTGTCAGATGGCACTCGGGACAGAGCAAACACAGAAATTACATTGCTAGAATGACGCATGAGGTAGTATGGGTCCATGGTGAGTATCAGATAACTAGCAATGCTAATTTTAGCTGTGTGTTCAATCTCTGCCCTTTAAAGATAATTAGATGATGCTATGCAATACAGTTAGTTTTGCTTCCACTCTTCCATACTGGGTTACTTGTTGCCATTACCTCTTTGTTTCTGGCTTTCCAACTGACTTCTGCATTCATTTTCTACCATTTCCTTACCTCTACCATAACTTTATAACTATCTATACCTAGTACTATACTACATTTTTGAGGTCTTGGGAACATGTTGCACAGTATTTTCTGTCCTATATCTCAGACAGGCTTTCTGAATTCAGCAGCTAGGAAGCTGCAGTGTAATATTTTTGCAACAAATAATAACATTCTTTATTGTACAATTCAGTAACATCTTTATGAACTTAAAGCTCAGCTACATGGCAGCAAGTAAAAGTGACATGTACATTCAGCAGCTTCTCACAAAAATAATATTAATGTATTACCTCTTTAAAGGAGCTTGAGCATTTAGGTTTTGCGTGCAAGTTGTAATTTGCTAGTACAGACAATAAGCTACTTTAATTCATCTTTTCACTAATGAAAAGAAAAAAGGCTGATATTAGGACTGACCTATTTCGTAGAGCTTTACTATACATCAGGTTTTAGTTCCTTATAGCTTTGTTTGGATAAAGTACAGTAACAAGATAAATTAGATTACAATGGAAATTAATACAAGCAATAGCAAACATACTTCAGAGGGAATTAGTTACACACAGGTAGGTTGCATTGTCATATTTGGGTGTGTTGCATTGTCACAGTCTAACAGACGTTAAAGTTCAAGGAACTTAGTCATTTGACTTGCACAGTTTCAGATAAAAATTCGTGTAGTGAAGCTACAGTCCTCCAGTACCCAGCTGCCTACAGCCTAGATAATGGGTACAATGAGGCAAACCTTTTTATAATCACAAAAGCAGAAACTGCCCTTAGAAAAACAACCTCTAAGCTACAACTGTGTTTAGTAACAGTAGGTTAGATACTAGAGAACACATGAATCCTAAAGGCACTGACAACAGTATTTTGAAATAGAGGAAAATCTTCTTGTTCTCTATTTTTTCATCTTATTGGTGCACTATCTTGCTCTTTAGAAGTATCAAAGCAGATTACTAGTTTTACCTCAAGGATTCCTCATTTTTACCAGTCTTGACAATGCAGTATTGTATCCATTGTGACCTCTGACTACTGCTTCACAGTAGAATACTTCAGAAACTAATGTTAGAAATCAGTCACTTGCTTTAGGAAAAAATAAAACAATTCTGTTTTGTAGCATCTTGGTTTGCAGTTTACAGTCTGAAACCAGAAGTACATAATTAAGGGTACTTAACAGGAGAAAACAAAAGTTTCAAATGTGACAGTTATGGTATGAAGTAACAGCTACTGTGTCTAAAACACAGAAACAGAATCTGCATGACTTTGTATTTAATAACTCTAGCATCTGGTAATTTCTGGGATAGCATGAGCTGTTTTCTCATGAAACTAGTTTACCAAAAAGCTTAATCTGTTTTCCCAGAGAGGCTGCTTCGTTCAGCATTCTGCTAACTGTTTATTTTCTCTTTGACCTATTTAATCAGTCATTATGGTTCTGAACCTGTTCAGGAGCTTGATGAGATGAAATTCGGAAGACATGTATATGAAGATGAGCAGCAATCTGTAGGCATACACCAGTGGCATATCTCAGCATATCAAACAAGGATATGAACTTAAAAAGAACAAAACAGAACAAGTTAAAAACGTATTTCACAAAATTGTCCCTGCTATAAATTCAGCTTTAATCAGAATATGTCAAATTTTATGAAGTCTGAATACATTGCATAGTTTGTAGTTAGAGTAACATTAAACAAACCACCTGAATTAAAGCAGAATTACAAAAAAGAGATCCACGATTTTACTTTCAGATCTCTTTTCTAAGGAAAGAAAGCCAGTTAGCTCCCAAAACATATAGTTATGCAGTATTCTGGCACTCTTTCCACAATGACAGGTGAAGTTGAGCAAATCTGAAATGGCAGAGTGGAATGACGAAGACAGTTCTCAATCCATTCCTTTATGAATGCCACATCAAAAGTATAAAGCAGAATGCTTACCAATGCTATCCATAGAACAACATATTCATCAATGAAACTATTGAAGTACTGGTCCAAAAAGAGAAGTCCTGGTCCAATAAATGCAGTGTCTTGAAGACTGATTTCACTTTTTGTCATGTGAGCCACCTGTTTTAAAAAAAACACAAAAGGCACTACTGTGAAATCACTGTAACTACCAGAAAGCCTCCACTTTAGAAGAAAGAACAGTGTCCTTACCTTTCACCAGCCTCTTTGAAGGACCATCTGGAAAGCAATCAGCAGGCAGGTCAAGAGCCTGCTGCTCTCTCTGAGTTTCTATCTCAAGAGCTAAGTAACCTCTCTGCAGGTTGCTCAATCAATATACAGCACTTCAATCAGTGATATCAGCTATCTGAATCATCAAGTCCTGGTGTGCGGTTTTTTTTGTTGGTTTTTTTTTTTTTTTTTACTATTATATAGGAAATAAAACACATGACCTTCTGTGCTCTTTTTAGTTACATCTATCCCTGTGTACTTGAGCACTTAGCAAGGCTTGAGGGACTGCTTTTCCGATGTTCAAGGCAGAGTGTAAACTAAGGCTTAGTTCTAGGACTAACCTCAGCAAAACTGAAAGTTGTAACCAATAAATTGGTCGTAACATAATGTGGTAGCAAAGCAAATCTGGAAAACTTGTACTGTGCTTACTGCGTCAGAATGCATCTCTTAAGCCAACAACTGGTTGATGTTTAGGGCTGAGAGAAGATTCCTTACCACTAACTTCTGTGAGATTTTAGCATTCACAAATCCAAATGTCAGGACATACAGGCACGAATGTTTTTCAAACAGCTGAACTGTAGATTTTTTGTAGATCACAGTGGCCAGCGTGACAAGTAGCCCAATGTGAACACCTGGTGAAAGAACACTCGTTCCCTGAAATACAAAGGGAGAGAAAACTCTTCTTTGGCTTCAAACGCACAGCAAGACCAGTATTTTACATATATATATATAAAACACCACCCACTGAATGAAAGCAATTAGAGCTGTCAAATCTCAGGAAAAGTCCATTCACATTATGCTAATGCTATTAGTATCCTTTATGATAACCTTTAATCAACTTTGAAAGAAAATTCACTGCTGGTTCCTGTGACAGAAGGAATCCAGTAACAGGTACAGAGAAAACAGGTAAGTCTTTGCTTTGACCATTCAACACATTCAGATTTGTAAATAAATATTTTTAAAGTGTGAAATTCATATGCTTGTCCGCTTAAAGAGACAAAACTCTTTTGATTACCTGAAGTCTAATAAATTACAAATGTAAATTATTCAAACCCTATTCGGAACGTTAAAGCAACTTACTGCTATTGTAGATCCATTCTTTCCAACCCCTCCACCAAAGATGACGCGGAAGTAGTTGAAACATGAAACTGCTGTTCCACACAGGATACCAACAACCGCAAAGAACTTCAGTTCTAGGCCTATCAAATGCACCTTAGTGGGAAAAGCAGGAGAAAGATATTAAAGGTCACAGATACCAGCTTTATTTTTGCCCCCCCCAAGAGGTGATTTAAAAAAAAAAACAAAAACACCACACTACTGACCCTTACTAAGGAACTGTTTGACCTGCATTACTGTCTTGCTGAAAATAAGCTCAGGAGGACAATGCTTGGAGTTTATTTCCTTATTAAGAAGGCATCACATTTCTTTAAGGAATAAAGTCAAATTCAAACAACTTCTGGCCTTGACACTGAACTAGAGTTTACTGCACGTGCTTATAATGTTCTTCAGGTGCTTTTTTTACTGCATAAGCAAAAGCTTGCCACAGACTTGCTCCACCAGGACATGGGAGGGACAGGAAGGACAGTTCCTTCCTTCTCAGTGGGTACTGCAATACCAAACCACAGGAAACACAAACGCCATCTGCCTGCTTTGTGTTTTAATACTCGTTGTTTGTATGCTGTATCTTTGCGCTTAGAATCGTCTCTGGATGAAAATTTTTCTTAAACAGTTACCTTGCAGAATCAATTGCAGTTTCAAGGAAACTTCCAAAGGCAGCAGAGGATTTAAAAAAAAGAAAAAGTAGCAATAAATTGAAACCATTGACTATATTTTTTAATATAGATTGTTTTGAGATACAGCATAACTGTCACAGATTTTAATGTTGAAAAAAAAAAGCAACTAATTCATTAGTATTTAAAGTTGTTTCCCAACATGAAAATAACTCTATGTAAAAATAGAGCAAAAGCACCTTGCAGGAAACAAAGCTCAGCTAAATATTTTCTGACTGCTGAGTAAATTGGTAAACTAATTTGAATTACTTGGTGTTTTATATTTAGATTGATTTGCATAGGTTATCAATACTACGGAATTGTCTCAGGTCTTCTACATCCTATGACCAACAGAACTATAAATCTAAGATACCAGAAAGGATGAAGACCTGGTTTAATGCACTTTTGTTGCATGCTAAAATGAATATTTAAAGATGGAGTGAAAGCCAGAGATAGGCAAACAAACACTTTTGGACAGAAAACAATTCTATATAGTGATGTATGTTTAAAGTCAGCTCTGACATAACCATTAAAAATCAGTACATCTTGACTGACACATACATCTGGATTTTTTGCAGTAATGTAGATTTGTAAGATTAAAGCAGTTAATCTCTCCATTTTAAAATAAAGCATTGTATAAATCATTTAACTGAATAGAAATGCCGGTCTTGCAGTAAAATACACAGAAGTAACAAAATATGTGTTAAATCTCCACTACGAGCAGAATATTAGTGGCAGATCATCAGTTTGCATACATGGCAGATGGAGTCTTTTTTCCTCTATATAGTTCTAAATTTGTGCACAGAAAGTCACACCATTATATCTAAGTTACCTACAAGGTAAATATAACCCATAGTTGTACAGGAAGCACAGGCAGAACATCAGACAACTGGCAGGGGTTGATCCCAGTTGAATAGCTTCAAATACCATAGGAAATGATATACTTCATACACTTACCTTATAGTCCCATACTGCTGTTCCACAAAATGCAGATACCAACAGCAACACCGTTATGGCTATTTGAACTTCAGTTACATCAATTCTAAGGGGAAAAAATAAACGTTAGTGATTCAGTTAAAGGTTCTGTTTGCTTCAAGTGTAGGGAGGTGGGGGGCAGGGAGAGCAAAGTAAAACTGAGTTATTACAGATCACCCCTCAAGCCACGAAGTACATATAGAATGTGATTTTCCTTATCTAAGAAAAATGCTGTTTGGAAGCACACATCTCTAGTTAACATTTTAAATTGAACCGATGTGCTTAATCTACTGCAAGCTGAATGCAATTTTCACAGGGAAAGAATGTTTAATGAATACACTGTTAACTATTTTAGAATTGTGAATAAATGTACAGACTTGTTATGCAAGAACAATGTTAAATATTAAGTTCATAGAAAACACACTGACAGTATCATACAGAAGAAGGCACCATGAAGAGCAGAATGGGACAGATGGGATTTCTTTAAGCTGTTGTATCATGAAAACCTGACAGATGCAGCCCAAAGATCATAAGGGCGGTATTTTGATGACTGAGTCGTGGTTAGCAGAAGACACTGATCACTGACACGTTGCTTTTTCCCATAAAACATTTTATAAAACAGGTGGTCTTCAATCCCTTCTATAGTCAAGACTCTCAATTACATTGTTATTGTTCTCAGACATGGCAGCCAGTCTGTCTTACTGTCTCTAATTTCTGAAATATTTTGAGAGAGCTCAATATATACGTACATATATATATATATACATATATATATATGTATGTATAAAAAAAAAATCAGAGTACTAAAGTTATTAGCAAGCAGTAACAATGGATTAAAATACATTTAAAATACGTTTCCTTAAATAGTTAGAACAGATGTGCTATTTTAAAGAACTGATCAAAATCAAGATGCATCATTCCCTGCTTAGCACACAAAGTGTTTGCACAGGAAGTGGTGTTTTTTTTAAAAGGGGATGGGAACCAGCTCTTGGCTAATGGAAAACAAATATCTGATCTTGATACTCACAATAACATCAAACTTTTAAATGCAAGATAGTGACAAAATATGCCAAGTTTCATTGCAATCTTCAGACTCTTAGAAGAGCCAATGTTTTATGTACAAATAGATGACATGCTGAGGTACTTGTCATTGCCAAAAGCTGTAAGTAAGAAGGAGCACTCTTCTCTCCCTCCTGTGCCATTGTGCTCCCTCACTTCTCCTAGTTGTGGGCACCGTTCACACTGTAAGATGAATCAATTCAGCTTGCTAGTCCTGTGTGAGTTTATATTTTCTGCCTGTTTAGTGAAGTGACAGAACTCCAAGCTGAGTCATTATATGTGCCTAAGTTTTGTACTTAATTTTACAGAGGCTCAGACAGTTGGCTGCAACGCAGCTCAAATTGAAGGCCAAAGATTTTATTGAGCCCTGGAGTATTCTATCTGTACAGCCTGGCAGTGATATAGTACCCAGCTGTGCTGATTCTTCTTCCTGGCCATCAGTGCTGAGACTCATCAGTAATTTCACTTCCAAAATCAAATGCCATTAATTCAGGAACAGCATCAGTTAAAGCTTTCATCCACACTATGCATTATCATAGTTAGAGCAGAGAGTATACTACTACCTTTATTTAGACTCTCACAACTATTCTTAAGAGAGAAAATTGCAAGCCTTGGAAAAAAATCCTGATTTGCTTTCAGGACACAGAAATGAGGTATCTTGGAGAGACATTGTGTCTGTTTGGCTTCAAGCAAAAAGCATGGAACACCAGGGCATTCCAAACTGCTTGTACTGTGCATTGTCACTACATTTATGCAGAAGCCACTACGTTTTTAGTAAAGAAGTTTTATGTGGTATGAGAGCTTCAATGCCTTCTTGACATGGAGAAATTATTCTCACATTTTATGCAACAGAAGGCACAGAAAAGCAATTCTTGGTAAAAAATGCCCTAAGCTTATGGCATAGTTCGTGTCCATCATAGTCCACTGTCACTTACAAGAATTATCCATTCACCTATCATTCTAAAGCATCCTTTTCTGTCCACACCACAGAATGTCCTCAAGAAAAGCAGGATGGGTAGGCAGGTACAAGAATTACAGTTTGTATGGCCAGCAAATAGAAAAGCTCTTAGCATTACTGCACAGACAGCCTGCCTTTCAGATAGATACCAAACAGCATGCAAGTAGCTGATCATTAGCCTGTGTGCCCATTGGTGCGCCGATTTGCTAAGGTGCTTCTTGCAGAACAGAGCTCACTAGTATTCTAAAGAGGCAAGGATTGTCAGGACAGCCTTCACCTCTCACATATTTCAGATACAGCTGCTGAGGAGGTCACTTATCCTCAGAAATCATTTTCAAAGTGCAGCTCATTCCTTAAAAACAGTGAAGGACCATGCTAGGCACGATCAGAGCTGCAGGAGGGTACAGCATTCTCCACACTATTGGGAGTTAAATCAGAATTGTTATCTTTTACATGACTGTCAACGACCCCTCCTCCCACAGTTTAGTGAGAACAGACTCAATTTCTACAAAGTCATGAACAACATGACAGAAATCAAGCAGAACTGTGATCTAACACAAAACCTCAAGGACATCAAAGTCAATACGAGCCAGATGAAAAGCAAAAACCCCAAGTAAACCTGGGTTAATTCTCCAAGCAGTGGCATAGTTCTGCGAAACTCCCTGCCTAGGGATGTGCTGGCTGCAGAAAGTTTGTTTAAAGGAAGACTAACCATGTTCACAGAAGAGAAATCCGTTACCAGGGAATTCTGCTACAAATGCATTGAGTCAGAGTCCCCTGTACTGGATCTGTTCCAGGGTGGCAGGGTGATTATAATGGGAAGTATCAGAGATGCTTGCTCAGTTCCTACTCCTATATACGGTGCTTGGTTACACTGCAGGCAAGACAACTCAGGCCTGTGTGGATAAATCTGCAAATAGGAGCTACATGCATGCAGATAAAGCACAGATAGCCAAAATCAACTACTAAAAGAACAAGTCTTGTACTCAGTATAACACAGAGCTTAAAATTAAAGTAAAACAGAAATCTGCTAGGACAGAAGGGAGACTAGGAAGAGGGAGACAGGAACAGAAAGCGTGGGGAAAAAAGAACAAGAAGAAATGGAAATCAAGTAGCTAATAGCCTCAGACATTGTCATACGCAGTTCTAAAAGGTACCTACTTACTTTCCAAACCTTAATATGCCTGATACATATGTCTGCCAGTGAGCAGAATAGAACATGAACAGTCCCACAAAACAACAGAAAAACAACCAGTCAGGGTTTGTTCCTAGTCGGATTGCTATGCAGGATCCAAGGACAACAAAAACTGAAAAGCAGAAACGAACATGTTAGTCATATACCCTCTATGCTTGCAGTTAAGAGAAAATCACAAGGCATTTCAGGTCACTATAACAAGGAAGTATATAACTGATACTTAAGTAGCTAACATCAGGGACAGTGCTGGTGAGAGAGACCAAAACACAAGACTCCTTTCCTTCCAGGGCAAGGCCACACCCCCTATGCTACTGCAGTCATTCTGCCTTTGGGCCTTATAATTTCCTCTTCTTTATGGCACAGACATTAGCTCCAACAGAAGAGCTGTGCTCAAAGACTGACAGTGCTTTGCTGGGAACTGAGGTGTAAAGAACATCCCAATTCTTTTCAAGGTGAATGTTTTGGCCATTTAAACTGGTCACAGAAATGCAGGTATTGCCACAAACAGCAGCTAGGTTACAGAAAGTAAAACTGAGCAAGGCTTACTGTTTAGAAATTCCCAAACAACTTTTTTTTAAGCTCACTCTTTTAAGGAACATTTATAAACCACGCTCCTCCTAATTGCCAGGCTGGATGCCCACAAAGGGTTTTCTGGCACATCTTACATAAAGCAGAACCCTTAGCTACATGTTCCAGCATCAGCCTTATAGGCACGTAAATCCTATTTATCAATTGTACCTTATTGGAAAACATGAGCTACGCATAATATAATCTCTAGCAATGCTCTTACTGAATATGTCGTTCATTATTGAGCTCAAAGTGCATGAAGATGTACAAGTAAGTGCAGACTGTGCATTACCCAACACCTGCTAAAAGTGCTTCTGAAATACCCTCCCTGATCAGGGTTGCATATGTCAAGGGCAGCCCTGGCTGCAGTGACCAGGTGATGGTTGATGGTGGAGAAGGGAACAAGCTGCCCTGAGCATGGACCTGAACCAGACAATCTCCAGAGGTTCCTTCCAATTTCAACAAATGTGTGATTAATCAGCTCCTCTTGAAAAAAGCTAACTTATTTTTACGACTAGGATGCGTAACAGTAGGTTAAGGCTACCTGTAGAAATTGAGTCGCAACCATGATCAAAGAGCTCTCCTAGAGGAGAGCTACTGTTTGTTCTTCTGGCTTGCTTCCCATCAATGGCATCCAGAGACTGGTAGATAAAAAGTCCTAATGCACCCAGGATGTATGCCCAAAAAGGTGCCTGAAAGAGATTCACATAAAAGGTCACTCGGTGGTTCCCGATTTCTCAGCCAATAATCTATTTAATTAAAGGTAAAATAGTAAAATACTGTGCAGCACAAAACTGTGCTACATTCTGTATACAGTACATTGTATTATTTGTGCTGAAAAAAAAAATGTTTGAAAAAATTAAACTAATCTTAAAAAAGAAGAAAGTAGCATGAAGGCACTTAGGAACATCCTCAGCAGCTTAAATATTAGATACTTAGATGATTTGCTCAGATTTACAACATACAGGTACTAAAACACATCACCAAATAGAGACATCAATTCTTATGGAAAGAGGTTTTTTTTCCAACATAGAAAAACTGGCTATATATGCATTTTGGAAATTGGATTAAAGAAATTAAACTATTCACCTTAACACTGATTCTTAGTTTCAAAACAAGCTGTTGATCAGATCTATTACCACCACTCTTAGGTTTGAATGAGCTGTCCTACACAAAGTAGCTTTCAGAAGCACCGTTTTCATACACAAAGTCGTATGTCCTTGTAAAGGAATTCCTTCTTACTAAAAATTACTTCTGAAACTTCTTGAATGAGGTACAGGTTACATTTTGCTTCAAAAAAATCCAGTGGTATCCTTAACATTAAAAAGTGCTGTTCATGAGAGCACCGAAGTCAGGTGTCAATGCTGGAAACACAATTTGCAGATTTTAATAAGCAAACAAACACAATCACAAAGCTTAATTCTTTTCGATCTGTAGGCAGGAGGTTGCTGCAACTCCTCTCTTGTAGTGCAAGCAGACCAATGTGATTATGTGTATTTCAGAAAGCAAAGGCTATTAATTAGATTTAGACAATTGATCAATTTTCTCACTGAGGTGGGCTTTGTCCATGCTCAGATGGAGCTAGTGTTATTGTTGGGGAGAAGTCAAAAACAATAATTTCAGTCAATTTCTTGGGAGGGACAGAAGAAGGCAGCAGTAAGAATACCCATGAAGAGAGCCAGCCAACATGGGCTTCTCATCACTATGCTCCATGGCTTCAGTTAAAGTTATGCCCAAATTACAATGATCATAGAACACACCTTGTGTTTAGAAGAGGTTCAGTCCTAAGCCTGAAAACTTTCTCCAGTTTCCAGTAAAAGGCTGTCATATTTTTTTATGGTGATGACAGCAATACACGTTTGACAGTTACCAGTGGAATTAGTTGAGTTGCAGAGATTTCTTCTCCCTTGTCAGCACAGCTCAACTAGAAGCTATTGTGTTTTGTGGAATAGGGCTAAATGAATCTGAATTCTTAAGTACTGTTTGAAAAACTTTTGCTCCTGTAATGAAGGAGGAAAGGCAGAGCTGTCAGCAACAAGAGGAGCCAATTGCTGCAGTGGCTGGGTCTAAAAGAGCTGTGGGGAAGGGGAAAAAGCTTAAGGCTTTCAGTGATGCAAGCTTACCTGGAGCCACTCTCCACTAGGAAGCAGAAGATGCCTGGCAGCCCCCACTCCTGCCCTTACCCTTCTCAGACGGTTCTCTGCCACAGGTTAGCCATTTCAAGGGGTGAAAGCACACCGAGGATCCCAATGAAGCTAAGATCATTTTACTTGTGATGTAATTCAAAGATGAAAGCTAGTGCAGCAGCTATAGGGGCTTTTTCAGGATCACTTTGCTTTGTGGAGAATATGAGATAGTTTCAAACAAGCCAGCTCTCCCAGCAGAGATTTATAAAGGAAGCATTATGAGCAGAAAGCTAAGAGAAATTGAGAGTTCCATTCCTATCCTGTAATAACTGTGCAATTTTATCACCAATATTCCTTTGAAATACCACTACAGTAGTTTGCAGGATTTATGATGTGCCTTCACACACTTTTACAAGTTACATGAAAATAGCATTAGATCTACTGATGATTGTAATCTCAGGATTGAGGCAAGTAATCAGGTCACACCTGGCAATGCTGCCCAGGCTCCATTAGGCTCTTCTCCTTTTGCAATATTCTACCTATATCTGAAACAGACTGATCTAACTTAACTTGTTGAAGTTACAAGGGTCTTCGTATCATGGAGAAAAGCAGACTGTACCCAGTGCTCAGTACACTAGCCACATTCCTCCCTCCTGCCCTAGAACTCCACAATATAAGATAAAAGAATTCTTGTTCATGGTAACATCATCTCTATCTTACCTCAAAGAAGCAAAGCAACTTCAAGTTAGACCATTCTATTACGTGTTTTGGCACTACAGCGGCTTTTGTCTATTTCCAAGCTTTAGTATAGGCATAGCATCAAGAGTGCTGATACATGCCTGCTTGCCTTAGAGCTCCAGCTGACACAAATCAGACCAACAACACCTCCCAGGCTCCCAAACTAGAACCATCCTCTTCACCCCGCTGCAAAGAGGGGGAAAGAGTTTTTGTTTTCCTGGCAGTGAGGATCATCTGTGTCCATTAACACCTGTAAGGAATGAGTCCCTTATAGCTAAAGCTGCCATCTCCTGACCAGCCTCCTCCATGCCTGGCTCTCCATCCAGGGAGGTCTGCAGCCACTTCCCACGTTGCACCCAAGCCGTCTGCAAATTAGAGAAGTGGGAGCATTTGAGAATGCTGACATGGCTGAGGGACTCAGCTGAAAGGTCAGGAGGCTCCCAGTAATCATCAGCTTTTCACTGATGAGGTGTTTATTATCTCAGCCCGAAGTTATATCCTGCATCAAGCAAATGCATTATTTGGCTAGGAATACATGCTATTCTACCAGAGCTAGAATACAATATAAACTCCAGTGAAGAAAGAACAAACAAACACAAAAGGCTTCTCTGCTTGAATTAAAAAGAAGTCTGAAAGATTATATAGGGTCTCGTCAACTGCAGATTTGGTAAAGGTCAGGTCACATGCTGAACCCAGGGTTTGAAGATGCCAAGAAAATGCAGACATAGCATTGGGCAGGACTGCATGGCACGCCTCGCATTCAGGAAGCAGCATAGGTCCAACAGCAGCCCTTGTTTTGTGTCCCTGTGACAGCTGACTGCGGAAGAGCTGCAGGAGAGTGGATATGCTGAGAAGATCCCTTGCCACTTATTTCAAAGTTCAAACCCACCGAGTTCAACAGCCCAAAAACTGCAACATTTAAATATTCACCCACATCTCCTCATTACTCACTACTTTTAGTTATAATGTAATTCCCTCAATTCCCATAGCACTAGTTCTAGCCTGTAGTGCCCCTTTCTGGCAGAGATGCACAAAAGGTCACTGGACTTCCTCCCTTTCTCCCTAGAACTGGAGAATTTCTCTCACTTGTGTCAAGATGAAGCCTTCAGTACAATTGTACTAACAGCAGCAGAAGGAAGGGGGCTGTTTAAATCTGCATTACAGTGGGGCAGAAAAAAGAATAACCATAACACATCCCTAGTGCACTTTCCAACAGCAGGGACTTCTTGCATTCCTCCAACCTCCTCCTCTCCCCAGTAAACACCCTCAGGTTGGATATTAGGAAACATTTCTTCTCAGAGAGTGGTGCTGCAGTGGCACAGGCTGCCCAGGGAGGTGGTGGAGTCACTGTCCCTGGAGGGGACACCTACCTGCTGCTTTACTCTCTCTCCCACAAACTGCAAATCCATAACCTTTCCCTTCCAGCCCTTCACAGAACTGTGGGGGCTGGAAAGGACCTCTAGAGATCATCTAGTCCAACCCCCTCACCAAAGCAGGCTCTCTAGACAAGGTTGCACAGCTGCCCTTCTCTATTTGCAGTGTCCTCTGGGAAATTACAGACAATGGGAAGAGATGCCCTGAATGAACACAAACAAAAGAAAACAGAAGAAGCCAAGAGCATGCAGGACAAATCTTTACCAGTGGATGAAATCCACTCTAATCAGTTTTGGCCTTTCTTTGCTTAGATCCTGCTACAGCTACTACAGGACTTTTTAATGGATTTAAGTTCAAAACAAAGAAAGAGCTGCTGTTAGTATGAAAACCCTGTGCTAATGGAGTAACTGCAGCTGCTTCAGAGAAGTAGGCTTGCAAGGAGTGCTCCTTTTAGTAACAAAAACTGTTCACTACCACACAGTGGGGATAAATGGCCGTCCTCATCTAAAGTGTGCTCCTTCTACTCTCTAATAGCACAGTGTTCATACTGTAGGTCAGCAGAACTTTCAGTAAATAAATATTCTATGATTATTGTCAGATCACCCACCTCACTGATATCACACTTAATAGCACCGTCACTTTTTGTCATATCTAGGAAACCCAGCTGTGCTATGATACACTGAAACCCAGGAAATGGTCAGCAATGATGATCATCCTTAGTTCTTCCTTTCAAGAGGAGAACGTAGGAGAATAAATCTGCTAAGGAGACAACGAGTGGGTTAAAGGGAGATCTTGCTTCCACCAGAAAGCATTATCTCCAGAGTTACAGTATAGCAGCCATGATTGATCAACACACCCAAGGGATGAGATGCCATCCAGAGACCTAGACAGGCTCAAGCAGTGGGCCCCTGAGAACCTCATGAGGTTCAACAAGTCCAATTGCAAGGCTGTGGCAAACTTATTATCAGTACAAGTAGGGGGATGTAAGAATGGAACACAGCCCTGCTGAAAAGAACTTGGAAATACTGGTGGATGGCAAGCCGGGCATGAGCCAGCAATGTGCCCTCACAGGCCAGAAAGCCAACTATATCCTGGGCTGCATTAAAAGAAGCATGGCTGGAAGGGTGAAGGAGGTGATCCTGCCCCTCTATTCTGCACTGGTGAGACCTCACCTCGAGTACTGCGTCCAGCTGTACAGCCCTCAGTACAGGAGAGACATGGAGCCATTGAAGCACATCCAGAGGAGGGCCACAAAAATGACCCAAGGGATGAAACACCTCCCTGTAAGGACGGTCTGCAAGAGCTGGGGCTGTTCAGGGCTCCAGGAAGACCTGAGAGTGGCCTTTCAGTTTCTAAAGGGGAGCTGCAAGAAAGAAGGGGAGAGACTCCTTAATGGGATCTGCTGTGATAGGACAAGGGGAAATTATTTCCAACTAAAAGAGGGGAGATTTAGACTGAACATAAGGAAAAAGAGAGGTGGCAGATGCCCCATCCCTGGAGACACTCAAGGCTGGAGGGGCTCACAGCACCCGATCTAGTTGTGGGTATCTCTGTTCATTGCAGGAGAGTTGGACTACATGGCCTTTAAAGGTCCCTTCCAACTCAAACAACTTTCTGATTCTAAGAGAAAGGAAGAAAGAAAAGAGTCTTCAATCATAGTAAAGAAGATACATCAACTCTGTACAGGGCATGAAATGCGCAGCCAGTGTCCCCCCAGCCACTGTAATGTGTTTTATTTCTGTAGGTGGCTGTCCTGTTCTCAAACAGAAGGAAATGGAACAGACACTGTGAAAATCCACACATGTCGATTTTAGCTACTGCAGTGCTTGTGGGGTGTGGTCTGCTGTGACTCAGAGATAAGGAGGCTTATGATAAAGGGTGCATTTATAGAAGATGGCAATACAAGTCATGTTTTACACAGGAAGGCACTGCTTGACCAGGCAGCATTTATAAAGCCAAAACATGCTGTTCTGGTCAGCAGCAAATTGGCATTTAGTAGCTACTGGTGCTGATGAAGATGCCAAGTAGAGTGTATAAGGAAATAGCTACTACACAGTAAGAGGACAAGGGAGCGTTGTATGGTTTCAGACGTCAATTGCATTGTGTGGGGCAGGGAAAGCATTATTAAATTGTGGAATTCACTGCAATAGGACATAACAGAAGCTGAAAGCATTCAAAATGAAGAATTTAAAAGGCAAAATCGAGGGGAAGTTGATCCACCAGTTGTTCTAACAGGTATCTCAGTGGAATCCCTACTGAGAACTCCCTGCTCCAGTCTCTGGGATGCACACACCAGGGCAGAGCACTCTGCTCTCAGCATCTACCACCAGGGGCTCCCAGGGAGCTCTGAGCAGATGGACCTGGGTCTGACCAGGTACGAGGGAGCTGCCATCCATGGGCTTGGTTTTGCCACTTAAAACCTAATTATGTACTGTGTGCTTCAGTGTTTTCAACAGGACTATTAAGAATGGTTTCTTCGTGAACGGAGGGAGAGGCTCACTAGCACAGCGAGGCAACGTTTACATGCACCATACTACTAGTTCTGCTTGTGCTACGCCCACCTTTAACATAACTTTCACTTCCACCTTTCCCCAGGAGGCCCTTCCAGCCTGCACACTAAAAGCACAAAGCAGATGTTACAACAGTGCATATAACACTTGGTAGTGTTGCAGCAGGTTTAGCTTTTTTTTCAGAAAGCCATCCAGTCACCATCTTCACTTGAGAAAGGCTGAAAAGAGCATAAGAAAGATAATGATGGTGAGGGGAGCAGCAAAAGCCAGCACATGCTCACAGAGCAGAGGCAACAGAAGTTTTGTCTCTGCTCAAAGAACAATGCAACAGGAGTATGCTTTTATGCTATACACTTATAATTGATATACTGATGTCTAAATGAGAAAGTTTGATCCAGACTGTATGTTCTTATAGAAATCAAGCTCTGTGACAATCATAAATGTTCCTAAAATTCAACCTGAGCTTTCCTGGAAGAAGTAATTCCCTGAATGTCTGCAACATAATGTTTTTGTATGAGTCCTCAAACCAAAAAATAACTTAAAATTTACTCGCTTTATCATTATGTTCATGGCAAAGAAAGAAATGCTAGAATGAACACTGTGACACGCAGCTGGCACAGGACTGATACCTACATCACAACAGTAAGCTGAAGGTAGCAGCTCTACAGCCATTAGAATCACAGAATCACTGGCTTGGGTTGAAAATGACCTTAAAGCCTACCAATTCCAACGCCTTGCCATGGGCAGGGGTGCCTCCCAGCAGCTCAGGCTGCCCAGGGCCCCATCCAACCTGGCCTTGAGCTCCTCCAGGGATGAGGCACCACAGTTTCTCTGGGCATCTGTGCCAGTGCGTCACCACCCTCTGAGTGAAAAATTTCCCCTGACATCTATCTAACCTAAAATCTCTCTTCTTTTAGTTTAAAGCCATTTCCCCTTTTCCTATGCCTATTAGACCATGTGAAAAGTTGGTTCCCCTCCTGCTGATAAGCTCCCTTCAAGTACTGGAAAGCCACTGTGAGGTCTCCCTACAGCCATCTCTTTTCCAGGCTGAACAAGCCCAACTTCCTCAGCCTGTCTTCATAGGAGAGGTGCTCCAGCCCTCTGGTCATCCTCTTTCTTCTGGCTCTCTTCTGGACTCGCTCCAGCAGCTTCATATCTTTCTTCTGCTGGGGGCCCCAGGCCTAGAAGATGACAACCTGCAGTTTCCAGCCATTTAATCTCCTCTCTCTTCTTTTTCCTTACTGCCTGCAGCTGAGTCCCAAGGAAGCCAAAAGGGTTAGGCCAAAATGAGTTAGTTTTGACTTGGATCAGTCAGATCAGATCTGACTGCTGCAAGCATCACTGCTGGCATGAATGGCAAAGCAATTAGGGACAAATAAGGATGCTTCTGTCAACAAGAACGCTCATGGAAGTATATCCAAGTTATATATATATACATATATAAAACAACCCAACTGCCAACCCCCATCTCTGCCATTAAGATTTAAGCCCATCGGAACAACAGAACAGCCACGCTTCAGGACACAAAGCCCCCCACACAGAGGGACTTTCCCCTGATATTCCCCACTCCAACTACCATGGAAAATAACGTCCTGGGAAACTTTTAGGTGCAACCCGCACACCGCCCCAATTTCAAGGCAAACCCACCGTGCCCTCCGCGGACACGGGCCCGGCTCTCCGGGCGCTCCGTGCCGGCGGGGACCGGGGGAAGCCGCGTGCCGCAGGGCGATACCTGCTCGGTGGCGGTGGGGCAGGAGGCGATGAGCGGCAGCGCCGTGAGGCAGTTCAGCAAGAGGCCGCCGAGGGTGATGGCGTTGGGGGCCAACCACGGCGGGAGCCGCTCCACCAGCCAGCCCCAGTAAGGCTGCAGCCAGGGCTCCAGCAGCGAGCGTCCGGCCGCGCTGTAGCGGTGCTGCTCCAGGCGCTTCAGCTGCGCCGGGCTGAGGGGCGCGGGCAGAACCCACGGGGCGGCCATTCCGGACGGGCCGCGAGGCACCGGGCTCAGGCGGCCGCCACCGCCGCTCGGGGCGGGGCTGAGGCAGCGGCGGAAGAGGCCGACGCCCCGCGGCCGCCTCTCCTCGGGGAAACCGCCGCCCCCGCCGCGCCTCTTCGACTTGTCTGAGTTCTTTGGTTCTCTGCTTGGTCGTTTCCCTCACTTCGGGGCGCGGCCGTCGCCTCGGACGGGATCGCGGTGCTGCCCGCACGGCGCCATTTCCCGAGCCCGCGGGCACGGCGCCGTGGGCTGAGCGGTCTCACCGGCCTGCGGAGTGTCGGGCCCCGTGGCTGTGGGGTATACAAACACTGCGTGCACAGGACCTCCTTGGCCTAGGTCAGGCTCCACAGCCAACCTGGCCTTGAGCGCCTACGGGGATGGGACACCCACGGCTTCTCTGGGCAGCTCTTGTGCCAGTGCCTCACCGCCCCTCGAGAGAAATCTTCCTCCTAACGTCTAACCTGAATCTCCCTTATTTCAATTTGAAACTGTTCCTGCTGGTACTGTCACTATCTGAACGTGTTAAAAGCCGGTCTCCTTCCTGTTTATAAGCTGCCTTTAAGTACTGAAAAGGTCTCTCTACAGCATTCTCCAGGCTGAACAAGCCCAGCTCCCTCAGCCTGTCTTCATAGGGGAGGTGCTCCAACCCTCTGAGCATTCTCATGGCTCTCCTCTGGATCTGCTCTAACGGCTTTGCGTCCTCCCTGTGCTGGGGGCTTCAGGCCTGGACACAGTACTCCAGATAGGGCCTCACAAGGCAGGGCAGAGGGGTACAATCACCTCTTTCTCTCTGCTGCAGTCCCTCTGCTGTTTTAGTCCAGAACTCACTTGGCCTTCTGGGCTGCAAGTGCATGCTGCTGGCTCATGTCCAGCTTCTTGTCCATCAAGACCCCCAGGTTCTTCTCCTCAGGGCTGCTTTTAAGGGTGTCTTCCTTAAGGGAGTACACGTATCTGGTATTGCTCCGATCCAAGTGCAAATTAATCCATTGGGGGCCAGAGGCTGTAGCCTTTTGGCTGGTCATAACAGTCTTTTGATATAGAGCAGTTTCCTGTTACTCAGTGTAAGCCAGTTCCCTTTCTTTGATGAAGCCAGTAAGTTTTTGAGCACGTTTTTCTACGCAAATGTCAGGAGTGCTTGACATACACAAAATGATCTTAGAAGCATTTCAGTTGGAAAGGACATTTAAAGGTTACCTACCTTAGCTGCTCTGCAATGAAGGAAACAGATGAGTGTACCTTATGTCCAGTAAATACAGTGAGAGACAGTGATTGGGGATTAGGGCTGGAACAGAAAAGAAAGGAACCACAAGCAAATGGAAGGATAATGCAATAACAAAGTAAAGATTCAATGGCAGCCAAGCAGAGAAGGGCAAAAGCACTTATATTCAATGCCAGCCAGATCCCTAGGACATTGGAATCACTGGGCTTGAAAAAAAGTGAAACTGCTGCTTTGAATTCCTTGAGCATTACTGCTGTCAAGGAGCATAAGGGTATTGGTATTTAGAGAGATCACTCAAGCTCTTTTCAATGCCAGGAGGAAAACAGTTTTTGGAAGAGTTGTAAGTGAACCACCACTGCATCCATTTATTTTTTTTTTTAATTATTATTATTTATTTATCATAAAAAAGATAGGGACTGAGTAGATGAATTTATTATTGAACCCGAAAAGGGACTTTGCATGTTTGTTTGTTTTTTGGTTTGCTTGTTTATTTTAATATACTTTTAAAAGTGTTCAGCAACAAAACACAGAACAAGAGAAGGTAGAAATCAAAGTTAGATGTGTTCAGGTTTCCAGAACTTCCTCAGTATTCAGGATATGCTTTTACTTTTTGCTGTCTGCTTCAGCAAAGCAGCAGCTTTACTTGTCAGTCAGGAAAGCAAGCCGTGAACCCAGTGACCATAAGTATTCTGTGCTTAAAATAGAATGCCTTTTGCTCCAGAATCTCAAAATACAACAAAAGGCATTCAAATAAGTGTCATTTTCAATGCTCTGTTAAAGTTAGCTAAACAAAGTACAGGAAACTTATAGATGTGCTTTTTTTTTTTTTTTTTTTTTTTTTTTTAAAGGGATATTTAAAAAGAAAATCTGACTCTCATTCTGGACTTCCGAATGAACTCTGCCCTGCTGAGGCCACATCTGAAATACTGGGCTTCTCAGTTCAAGAAAGACAAGGAACTTCTAGAGAGAGTCCAGTGGAGGGCCAGAGATGATGAGGGGCCTGGAGCATCTCCCTTACGATGTCAGACTGAGAGCCCTGGGACTGTTTAGCTTGGGGAAGAGAAGGCTGAGGGGAGTCTTATCAATGTTTATAAACATTTATGGTTGTGGAATTCAAGTCAGTGGGGACAGACTTTTTTTGGTGACATACAGCAATAGTACAAGAGGCAGCAGGTACAAACTGGAGCACAGAATGTTCCATACCATCACAAATAAGAACTTATTTTACTGTGAGAGTGACAGAGCACTGGAACAGGTTGTCCAGAGAGGTTGTGGAGTCTCCTTCTCTGGAGATATTCAAAATCTTCCTGAATGCTGTCCTGTGGATCCTACTCTAGGGAATGTGCTTTGGCAGGGGGTTGGACTTAGAGATTTCTAGAATACACTTCCAGTCCTTACAGTTCTTTGATTCCATGATATCTTGATTCAAGCACTGTTTTTCTCCCACTTTCTTTATTTCTGTTATTATTGTCAGTGAGGAAAACTGGCTATGAGCTTTCCATGCAAACAAGAGTCTACAATGCGTGTATCAAGCTCTACAGATAGCTGCTTAAGACAAGATACTTATTTATGTAACAGAAACATTTACACTTCAAGTGCCCTTTCAAGGAGAGCAAGCCAAAAGAAACCAGTGGGGCAAAATATTTTCTTCTGGCTTCTTTAAAAATAAATACCATTTCTTTTTATTAACTTTGATTCCTCTTCCTTTGTGTAAGTGTGTGTGTATGTACACATATGGGTCAGCCTTCTTATTCCAAGTAGTAACTTTCCTTGTCCTATTTCAGTCAAGCTGAACATCAAAGGAGAATTTCAAAAGTAGGAAATTTCTACCAACTTTGTGAAAGTGAGTGGAAAAGAGAATCCTTATAAATTGTGCTACTGAAAGAGATCTGAACTGTAAACTCAACACCAAATAGTTGATGGTGAGTACAAATAGCAAACAGGTAAATAGCTGAAGACTAAACTAGTTTCACATATAATTAAACTTCAGGGAGCACAGCCATAAGCTATGAAATCACTGCCAGTTTCTCTTCTCCTGGAGCTCCTGTATTTTGCTGATACTCCGTATCACATGACCAGGTTTTATTTGCTGCCCTTTACTCCTAGATCTCTTTCATGGTCAATGATTTCCTGTAAATCCCATGTGAGCCTACCTGGGAGAAATTTCCTCTTGGTATCACTGGACCATGTCTTCTGCAGCATGATATTCTCCTACTGCTTCCATTCTCTCTTGTCATTCTGCCTGTGGTTTTTGCTGTATTACCTTCTCATAAGCTGGTATTAACTTCAGATTTCAAAATTAATCTTTTTTGTCACTTCCCTTCATCTGTTGAACACTATCCTTGGAGAATTCCATCAGGTGACACATCATAAATAAAAAAATTATTCTCTATTGAAGGTTCTGCAACCTGCTAGAATTTCCTTTCCTGTCCCACTCAATGCTGTAATTCCTTTTAAAGTCATATTCAAGTAATCCTTAATCCAGAGGCTTGGCTGGTCAGCTTCACTAATGAAAGTATGAACTTACAGCAGATTAATACTCGCTCATCTAAATTCCAGCTATGGCCAGATACCCATTATTTCTTGCTGTCATGGTGCATCTCACTCAATGGTAAATGTCAGGCAATGCAACTCAGGAGGAATTAAGGTCATGTGAACATCACACTTAGTGTTCACCCAGTGAAAAGTAGCTTAGTTCAGCTTGTCTGCCAGCACAGTTGCTGTCTGGCACAAATTAGAGAAGCTAATTCCATCAGCAGAGTCCCAGTGGAAGCTGAGGTTTATAGCTGGCCACCAGGTTATTGTGTGTGGTATGTTAAAGCAGAGGAGGCAAATAAATGAACTGTAAACCAGCTATGCATGTATTCCTTTGTTTAGTGAAGCACAACCTCACTGAAGCTATAGCTTTGGTGTTGACCATAATATATCCAATTAGACTCATACTATTTCAAAGGAAGGATGAGATTAAAGCTATGTGGCATATATTCAAACTGACCCTCTCTCAGTGCCTTTTAGGCATCAAAACAGATGAAGGAAAACCCAATTGACTGGTGAAATACAGAATGAAGACAAATAAATAATCAAGTGTGGAATTTTCTTCCTAATACTCATGTTGCCTTCCTTGATGTGTAGGTATGAATAGAAAAGAGGGATATGGTTTTGAGAGGAGAAGGTTGAAATGCTGTATGGGGAGCGTCCAAAATCATTGGAAATAGAGAACTGCTTCCTTACACAGAGGGAGGACAGAGGAAAGTCAGAGGAAGGAGAAAAGGGAGAAAAGGGACCTCAGGGTGAATAAAATTTACAGGAAAAAAAAAAAAAAAAAGAGTGAGAAAAGACATTCAGATCCCCAAGTGAAAGAAGTGGTAATTCAAATGCAAATTCACCAGCAGTAGTGGTGCATAATAACAAATCCATTTATTCATGCATAATTACTAACTGCTAGGTGTTTGGAAATGTGCTGACATTGGTGTACACAGTGGTACTATTGGTTTAAGTGGATTCTTCACAAACTGTAACTGAGAATCGATCAGTAGTCAGTAAGCACACAACCCATCTTATCTCCACAGCTGGAGTGAGAACAGGCAGGTAAATAAATGAGAAGGTGATAGGGAATTGGCAACCTGGTCAAATTGCATGGGACCTTCTGTCTCACATGCATCAGAGTTTGCCAGAGCCTTACAGATGATCAGACTTCTAAAATACTGCTGGTATCCAGTTCTCTTGGAGGGTAATGACCGTAGAGCTGGAGAATTAATGTAGCAATTTTAGCTTAGCTATGGCGTTTTGGCCTTGCACCATAACCTCACAAATGACATGCTGTAACTCTATTCCTCTGATACTTGTGTAGACTGCGTGACTTGCTCAGAAAAGTGACTGGTCCAAACTGATCAAAGCTGTTACCGATGGAATTTATAATATTTTAAATATTGAAAACACACAGATATTAAACTACACGTATCTGATAGCATCTCTCTCATTCGCCCTCAGTGTTAGGTATGTTAAAGGGTGAGTTCGGTGGCTCAGGAGACTGACCCACTTGGTGCTGTGTGCTCAAGTTCCTGCTCTGCAGTATGCACGAATTTAATATGAAATATGGTGAGATGAAAAAAAGATAGTAAGCAACCACTTGTTAGATCTTAAACACTTCATATTTATTGTACATTAAATAAAACAATTTCAGTTCAGTTGAGAGACCGATGAGTCGGATTTAGGAAATCAAAACTTCTAAAGGAAGATATGTTCAGATTAAGTGATCATTAAGTACATATGAATTAATTACGTTCTAGTAAAACCATATTCTGTTAAGCAATTCTCAGGTGGATAAGATACATTATCAAAGAGGTATGTATTCCAAAGGTCTTATT